GAGATGATCACTTGTGCGATGAGAGCTCATCAGTGGCTTGTGCAATAAAAGAAACAATGACAAGTCAAGAAAGTCTTTCTGCAAATCTAGTATCGCCATTATGACATACATACATACACAAAATGTCAATCCAGTTGTTGAAAAAACATTTATACATAAAATGAATGTGCATCTTAAAAAATATTAGCAATTTCTTTAGGATTGCAGCAATACATCATATTGTTAGTCATTATATCCATCATATCGATGTATTGTTTATTTATACCCTTAATGCACAAGTGTGTGTTTTTACCTGGAGGGTGTGGAGGTCTTTTTATATTGTTCCTGAATAAGCTGTGCAGTGTGGTGAGGTTCTTCTCTTGCTGCCTGCAGCAGGGCTTTACGAAGGGTATGCTGGGATCTCCTCTCCCTCCTGAAGCCCCTCTGCTCTCTGCAAAGGTGCGTGTGTTTTTGTCTCAGGTATGAGCAGAAGCCTGCCAAACGCTCAGCACGGGAACTGCTGGCACTGTGAGATGGCAAAGAGAATTCTCTAGATCAGCACTTTTCAAACCGTGGGTTGCAATCCACTGTTGGGTCACAGAGTGTAAGCATTCATGCAGTGCCAGAAATATGAAAACAGAACTTCTCAAGTTCAAAAAAACAAGTTTGTTGGTTGTCATAACTTGTATTTAGATTATGTATGTCACAGATCAAGGACGTTTTTCCTGAATGATTTATAATAAGACAAAACAAGCATTAAAATAAGCTAAAACAACCAAAAATCAAGATATTTCTTAGTTTAATTCATCCCTTTTTTGAAGAAGACCTGGAAAAGGGCCTTCATTGAAGGTCCATTCAATGTTTGTCCCATTTTTGTCCCAGTTGTGAGAAAGGAGGAATACTGATTTGAGAATAGATTATTCTATTACATGAGAAAGAAGCCATGAAGTAAAGCAAGTTGCAGTTTAGCAATCATTGTTTGGTGTATGGATGACTGTACCTTTCCTCAGAGTGCTTCTCTTGTAGTCTCTGGCACTGATGTGACACTAGTTTCCCCAAGTCTCCATCTTCCTCTTCACTGTCTTCTGACCAGACAAGCCCTAGAACACAAGCTGTGTTTGTCATGAAAACAAATTAAAGCTAAATTAACCGTTAAATGTCAAAATCTCAGGTCACAATTGCCTACCTAAATGTGTGTTCAGGTCTTGGTACCTGCCCCTGTGTTGGACCATCAATCTATGGAACTTCTGCAAACATGGAGCTTGTTGTTGCATGGCAACTGAGTGCATTTTTATTAAACGTCTATGTATGTCATCACGGCTCGATGCTGTCCCTGAAGCTGCAGAGCCAACCTTTTTGTCAAAAGCATGATTAAGGTCCAGTTTAATTTTGTTATCAGCTGGAGTCGTTTCTATTGAGCCCTGGCGGCTGTCCTGAAGAGTTGATGAGGTTTTGAATAATGAACCTGAACGAACTGCAGGGGTTTGTAAGATTTCTGCACGAGGGGAGGTCTGTGAGGTTCTTCCAGTCTGGGGAGGAGGGAGGCAAGGACGTGGAAGAGTTGAAGAAAGAGACGAGGTTTTGAAATGGTTTGGGAAGGCTGGATCCACACGGTGATCTTGCTGTTTCTGCTTATGGTTCAGAGCTTGGTTTTCTTGGGGCTTCTTCAGGAATGTGCCACTAGGTTTTAACATCCCCCCCCCCATGTAAAAGGCGAAGGGATCAGAGGGGAGTAGACAAGCCAGGGAGGGTGGTGGGGATGGAGGTAAAAGCTCAAGCCCGTTGTGGGTCTTCAGAGCCAGGGATGGAACGGTAATGTTGAGGGCCAAAGACTCTATTGTATCTTGTTTCTTCTTTCGCTCCTTCTTGGGGAGGACACCCATAACCTGAAGGTGACTATTACAATACCTAAAAGATAAACAGGTTTTTTTCAGCATTCTTTAAACATGCACATCATTTTCTTTAACCAATTGTTAATCCAAAAACCTACTTTCGGTCATGAGCCTTGGGTATTGGATTGGTGCAGCGCTGGCTATTGTACTTGGCTACATATTCGCACTGTCTGAAAGGAGCGGTCCGGTCCTCAAGCACATGGCGGATGCAGAAAGCATAACCGTTGAGCCGGCGTTGTTTGCAAAGCTTTGGGCTATATGAACACAGAGGCTTGTGGTCCACCTCCGAGTAGTGGATGTGTTTGCCTTCATACATCCCAGGGCTGGAACTCTCCGGAACATTAGCTGATGAAAAAATGTTATGTGAATGAGACAAAAGTGTGACAAAAGCATTGAGTCAATTCAGCTTCTTTTGGAGTGCAGGAACAACAACTGTTGAATGAAACATTTTCTTTCTTTTTTTTTTACTCAAAACTGAAAGTGTGCCTCGCAGTTACAATTCTAATTAGATTTCAAATGTATATAAATGTTATGTATATATATCTTTTTTTAAATTATATTTTAAAATGTATCTGTTGAGTTGACTTTTTTACCATGCATAAAATGCATTATACTTTTAGGGTTGGAATACACTACGTGACTTTTGCCCAAGTTTTTGCCGCAATTTGCAGTCTGGACAAGCTGACTCTCATTGCCGAAAGTCAGAGCCAGTCTGCAGATATTGGGCAGTCGGCGTTGACAGATTTCAAAGCAAATCACATAGTCTATTATGGAACAGACTCTGTTTCAGACTATAATTCTATCCAATTAGAGGATATCAAACATGTTTGATATTTTGAGACGATTTTACAACACATACTGTTTTGATTTGTCAGGCATCTCTGAGCAACGAGGCACATGTTTCTGGGTGGGTTTGTTGTGTTTTGAGGTATAGGGTGATCCTTAGTTGTTCAGTATACAGTGCTGCTAAGTTTTTCTCTGTACCCATTTACAAAGTCGGCAAGTGTATGATGCCTAGTGTTTTAAAATCCCAGTCTTTCCTGTAATATTCATTTTATTAATCTCAATTACAGGCAGCTACAGTTACCCTGCGGCTGCCCTAAACTGTATAGTCTGCAGAGACCTAATGATAGTTGACATTTGAAGAGCACAGAAATCAAAGCTCTGAGCTCTTCCATTATTACTGTGCTCCTTCATGGAGTTTCTAGCACTCAGCAATGCATACAAAACAGTCGAACAGCTATAATAAAACCAGGAACATAATAATGACAAGCTTGCTTATCTGCAGGTCAAGTCACATTGAATTTAAGTAGCGTTCAATATATGTTGCAGTCACCTCTAACATCGAACAAATCTGAACTCTGCATTTCAAAGCACTCATCAAAGCATGCAGCATGTAGGCTGTTCAGCATAAACAGCTCAAACCATTAAATATTAAAGTGACAGGAAACAGGAAAAGTAGCCCCTATTTTAAGCAATCAATGACACAAGAGAAAAACAGCTTCTGTAAGCAGAGCTTTAAGAAGGTGAAGCACTAAATCATAAAACGATGGCTTGTAAAAGTGTTTGGGCAGAGTACAATACGTTTGACATGCAAAGCAACTTTGAAAACGCAAGGGGACGGTGGACAACCCGCCTACTATATCATGTTCTTGGGCAGCACTATCAGTTACTTTTGAGGCGAGGATTGAACAAGTTGGGTGTGTAGCGCTTAAGTAACAATTTAAATCTTTTCACGAAAGATACGATCAGAATCAGCGCGGCAGAATCTATTTCTTTGTTGCGTCGTACAAATATTTCGAATGCATTTTGAAACTTTGTAACGGGCGTCGGAATATTTGTTTAAGCGCGGAAGAGACTCGGGACCGATCATAGGCAGAATACCGGTCAAGCGAAAATACGCGTTGTCGACGACCTGAGACGTTTTAAAGTTTCGGAGTATTATTTATCGGGTATATTTAGATTAGTTTCAGGGGGTTATAATTTTGCAAGAAAAACTGATATCAGATACACATTGTGACTTCAAGTATTCCTTTATTTCTGCGCAATTCGTAGTTACCGTTGGCCTGTGAAACCTCCCGAATCCCCCGAGTCGAGTAACGAGGCACCCGCCTTGCAGTGCGTGATAAGCGGGCTTCCGCCTTTGCTTGAGTCCGTTGTTTCCCGGCAGCTGCTGGGTCCCCGGTCGCTGCGGCCTATGCTAAACAAGCTACGCTGATCTTTTCGTATGGTCGACGGCTATTACTTTCAACGGGGATTTTCCGCCTCTACCTTACCGCTTTCCGCTAGCAAATTTAGTTTTTTAACGCGTGGATTTAATTTTATACGAATCCTACTGGCACATCTTTGTCGATTATTGAAATAAAACTAGCCGTACACAAGGAGAAGCGGGTGTTGGTTTAGTCATCGGATGCGAGGCTTCTTACAGCACAACTACAGGCACTGGGGGGACATGACAACAGCCAACAGTGCAACAACAACCTCTGCAACCATTTTGGAATTCAACTTTGTATGTTCATTGTCAGCTTTTAGAAAGATGACAGATCTCGCAAACACAGATTATAGATTGAACGTTTGAGTGCCCGGCTGTCAGAAGTGTTCAGACCAGCGTGAAGTTTGATTTAAGCCGCAGTCATTGATTTTAAGTTTGAGGGATCTCCCCCAAAGTCTTTTCCGACAGCCTCCTCTCACGCGTCTCATCCATGCCTGGAATGACATCACCGACTTCAAATTTAGTGCAATCTCACGTGCGAAGATAACATTCTTGTCAGTCATATTTTCCCTTCCCTGCTATCAATAAATATTATCAAGACGAAAGGCTTGTGATATAAACTATGAAGCAGGTGTTAGTGGGGGTAAAGAGATTTTGAAGTGACTAAGGTTGCCCCCTATCAATCCTCTTCAGTGATATCAGAATGATGCAGACATAGTTGTGAAAATGAATACAAAGTTGTCAAACTCATCATAATCCACTACTTTGCTATTTAATGTAATTTAAAATAATATAATGGGTGAAATTTAAGATTAATTCAACAACTAGTTGTCAAATTAATATATATAGAGATATATACAGGCTTTACATTGCACAAAAACCAATCAAGATCCATCCCAGATTCTAAATGAATCAAAACAGAATTTTTTCTACTGTGCCCTTGCTTTGAATAATTTATACCAGCGATGTCAACGGTGACAATGGTATATTGATATAATACATTTTTATTTATCATGATAAGAGCTTTCCAAAACAAAGCAGACCTCATTCAGCCAAATCATGGGAACGAAAACTTTACAACGCCCTTCAAATCCTATTAAATATGAGCGAGATTAATTTCACACATTTTTGCTCCTCTGGTAAAGTCTGACTATGAAAGAGACGGGAGACACACAGCAAAATATGCTGAAATCCAGGTATGTGGTTGTACATGTACTTGACGATGACTATTTAGTGTATGCCTGAAAGAGTTTTAACAAATTGAGGGCTCATCAACTGCTGCTGCTCCTTCTGTCACAGCCTTCACACACTTGGCCATTGTCTGAGAGGCTCTGCTGATGGGGTCTGTGGAGGAAGACAATGGTAAATTACAGGTTCGAAGACATACACTAGGTTACAGCGTTCTATTCACACATAAGAACTTGTAAAAACTAACAAAATATATTTGTTACTCTACCTGTCATGTAGAAATCCTTCACTGTGAGCTGAGGGGGGACAAGAGGAGCTGCAAGCAATGACTGTTTCACAGCCTAAGGAGAACAGGAGGACATTACTGAACGGTGTAATTAGTGCAGATTTTAAACAAAAACAGAACAACAAAGAAAAAGAACACTAACCTTTGAAAGCTCATGGGCCTGTTTGAAATAATTGGCTTCCTCTACATCATCATATCTCACCAGGTTAGGAGAGACCTCTTCCAGCCTTCTCCTCACCTCAGCCAGTGTGTCATATGGCAGTGCGACTCCCGCCAGCTGAGCAAACAAAACATGAGATTCCTTACTGAACAACCTGAATTTTATTCTAAATACAAAGCTCAGGAAAGGTATATGAACAATATTATACATTGTTAAAGTCCAGGTTTTAAGGAGAGTACCTCAGAAATAGCACGCAAAACCTTCCAGTCTTCACGTGCCATACCAGGAGCAGTAACTGCCACCCTGGTCTGCTGGACTCGGCCCTCTGTGTTGACGTATGTGCCATTCTTTTCGGTGTATGCAGCACCAGGCAAGATGACATCAGCCATGACTGCACCTACATCTCCATGGTGACCTGATAAGCATGTGGAACCATTAAACGCTAAATAATATTTTTGGATGCAAGCCGCTTACCATCAAGGCCGCGATATACTCACAACAAAGTTTTTTGTCATTCATTGCTTGGGGCAAACTTCGTTTTGGCCTAATTTTGTATAAAGTAACGTCACACCAGTTTGTTTATCAATTTTGCTTGACGTTTATCGGGGCCTTTGGATTGTGGTACAGAACACAAAGTATATAAATATGTGTCTTTACTGACCCTGGTAGATGATAAAGCTGTCTTTGGGAAGGTCTGCTCTGGTGATGCAGCCAGCATCGGCTCCCAGGAGAAACAGTACTTTGGGAGGGTTCTTCTGGATGGCATTAACACCAGGTTTGTAACCCAAGTCCAGGGCTGCCACTTGACTAGCCACCCTGAGGTCACACACACATGAATGTGACAAGGTAAGTACTTCTACTAAGCAAAGAGTCAAATTTCACAATTCTTTTAAATGAACAGTAGAACAGAAAAGAGTCCCAAAGAAAGGTCCAGACATGCACACTTATGGCAGTAGCTGACCTGTGCAGCACATTGAGCACCTTCCATCCATCCTCAACACCACTGCTGACCCGAGAGTTTTGAGCGATTGTGGACACGGCCTTAAAGATGGCTGCCCCATCTTCCCTCTGGAGAGTGGAGCTGCCCAACACTACGACAGGCTTTTTGGCCTGGGCTAGGACCTGAAATACAAAAAAAAAACTTATTGAAATTCAAGAGTCAACTTCTGATGTCATGCTTACAGACAATTACTTCAGTCAAATCTCCAAATAAACTCCAACATTGCGATTTAATGCTACCTTGCAGAAAGGGTGTGTTCCAGCAGCGATCTCCTGCAGAACTTGTGTGGTTTCACCCAAATGTTCGTAAGAGTAGCTCAGGTCCACCTTATGACCCACCATGGCCACCTGGAGCTCATTATGCAACCAACTGAAAGATAAAAAAAGATTTAAAAAAAAATTAAAATAGATAAAGATAAAAAAACCTAGTCAACATTTTACAACTGTTGCTAATAGAGTGTGCAATGGTTATACCTCTTGCGGATACGTGAATTGAAGAGAGGAGCCTCATAACGTGGGTTTGTTCCAACCAAAAGCAGGAAGTCACACTCCTCAATGCCAGTGATACGGCTGTTCAAGAGGTAATTGGAGCGCAGGTCGGTTCTAAGGAGACAAAAGACCAAAAATAGTTTAAATCCCTAATAGTAAGATTGAAAGGTTGGTTTGAACAAAAATTGTCATCAATTGCTCACCCCCAGCTAAGACTTACACAAGACTTTTATAGACAATATGAAAACAATCCAGTTCATCAAGCAATCCATGCCAAGACCTGGATTGTTGATTTATATGGATATTTTTCATGAACTTTTATGAAATGTTTTATGAACTTTTAGATGTTTCAAAGTTTAAATGAACTAGACTTTAAACAGAACAGGGATTAAAGTTTTCCTCGCTAGGACAGATTTCTGTCAGTTCATAAAGACAGTCACTCGCTTCATTCCTGAATGATTCAGCCGTTCGAACGAATCAATTGAATGAATGATTCAATGATTAAATCAGGGACTTGCCGCCACCTGCTGGCGGATTTAGTTTCATTTTTAGCGTATAATTTCAGTTTCATATTTTTCATATTTCTGTATTCAAAATGTTATATTTAAAACAATCATATGAAATTAGTATTAATAAATTAATTTGTACTACAGAGGTGGCACAGAAGAACACAAAAGTGGCTTGTAGGTACATTTTCAGACGTTTAATGAGGCTCAATGGTGGCATGGGTGCAATTAAATTAATAAATTAATGTGGAGATTAATGTCTTAAATATAAAATTTTGAATACAGAAATATTAAATGATTTAAATAACTGAAATGATATGCTAAAAATGAAACTAAATCCACCAGCAGATGGCGGCAAGTCACTGATTTTATCACTGAATCATTCATTCAATTGATTCGGTCAAACGGCTGAATCATTTAGGAATGAAGCAAGTGACTGTCTTTATGAACTGACGGAAATCCGTCGTAGCAATGGAAAACTTTAATCCCTGACAACAAGAGATTAGTAAATGATAACAGAATTTTCATTTCTGGGTGAAATATCCCTTTAAGCTAATAATAACATGATCAATGCATTTTAGAAAAAGAACAAAATTTTTTACATCTTCTGAAGAAATAAGTGGTGCTTGCATTGCAAAGTAGTTGCTATAGTGTTCTGAGTGTTTTTAGCTTGCTGAAATACGGTTGTTGCTAGGCTCTTACTTGCTTGTGCAAGTTAAATCCTAAAGGTGAGCTATTTGTTGAAAAAAATCTAACCCATTTTATGAGCAATGACACTGGTTTTCAAGTAATTATTAGTGGTATTTCCTAAGTAATAGTTATGGTACTGCAAACTATAAGAAGAGATATTATGACTGAAATCAGGACAGACACCATTCTCATTTTAGTCTCAAGACAGATGTCTATAATCAGATGGGTACTCACCCGGCACCAGCCATTGGGAAGATCTCCTCAGTGCAGAGGGTGTCACTGTCCAGTCTGTTCAGTAGGTCCTTCAGAGCAACCAGTGCCTCAGCATCTACCATCCCACCAGCAACAGCTCCTACCTCAGAACCCTGAACACCCTGGAGCTGAAAATTCAAATCACAACCATTGAAATCTACTGTCTTCCAATGACAAAGCTGGTTGATTCTGGTCAAAGCTGATTCTGGTTTTTATGCAATAACTCACTGCTCCAGCCACACGTGTAAGAACATCCTCCCAGGTGGTGGCAACCATCTGTCCACTGGCATCCTTCACCATTGGCTGGGTCAGGCGCTGCCTCTTCAGTCCATCATATGCAAACCTTAGAGAAGGTGAGGCAAAGACAGGACAGTAGACTACGCATGAGTGTGTATGAATGAAGAGAGAGAAAAATGTTTTTATATTTTAAGAGCTTATGCGCTCACCTGGTCTTGTCGGATATCCATTCTTCATTGACATCCTCGTTCAAACGGGGCAGAATTCTCATGACCTCACCACCTCTGGTGCTCACTACAATGTTGGAGCCAACAGCATCCAGCACATCAATAGACTCAGTCTTTCTGTAGACACATAGGCAAAGCATGTTCAAAAAGCACACACATTCACCAAGTAGTCCACTATTAAAAGGCAGCATAAAGAGGAGAATCTCTCAGGATTGTACCTGGTCTCCCAGGGTCGTGCAGTGAAAGCGTAAGGTTTGGACGTCAGTGCTCCAACAGGACACAAGTCAATCACATTACCAGACAATTCAGACATGAACATCTTCTCTACGTAAGTACCAATCTGCATGGAGTTACCACGTCCCGTGGTTCCCAGGTCCTCCACACCAGCAACCTCACTGGCAAAACTGTGAAGTTATAAAGTTATATTTGATGAATTGCTAGTGCTCTGTATGATCCTGAAGGCAATAGGCACGAACACCGTATGCCATTGTTTAACAGCAAAGGTGTACATGACTTTATACAGTAGCTAACATGTATCAGTAGTTACAGATGAAAATTCTTCTTTTATTGTAAATGTAATACCTATAATAAAATAACTATAAATTATCTAATAAGTATTATTAATGAATTCAGTGTTTTATGTAGCTTGAAGAATAATAGACCTTTAACTCACCGAACACAACGTGTGCAATGTATACAGCGGGTCATGATTGTTTTAATGAGCGGGCCGATGTTCTTATCTTCAACTGCTCTCTTCCCTTCTGTAAAACGGCTTCTGTCAGCACCAAACATCATCGATTGGTCCTATATATCCAACACAACATCAAGATGGGTAAAAACTGCATTAGGGATAATTCCATTTCCATTCTTGAGTGCATACTCAAGTTCACAGTCAAGTTCCATTAAATTGCTGTAAAAAAATGTTTTACCTGCAGATCGCACTCTCCTCCCTGATCACAGATTGGACAGTCAAGAGGGTGGTTGGAAAGCAGGAACTCCATGACTCCCTCTCTATAGGAGACACAACAAAAAATACAAATTAATAAATGCACTATATGTAATGTGATGCGTGAAAATTATTTATAAAGCAAGAAACATCTCAAAACCTGGCTTTCCGTGTTTTCTCTGAATTGGTCAAAATGTTCCACCCTTTCATGACAGGCATTGCACATGCTGCAACAGGCTGTTGATGAAGTACAGATGGGGAAAAAAATGCTTAAACTAAGACTTGTCATGTATTTTGATGACAATCGATAATATGTGCTAACAATGATGTTATAATCGTAGTGTGTTTGTGTATAATAATGCATGTTACCTTTGGTGCTTTCTCGATTTCCACCAGACACATGCGGCAGTTACCAGCCACTGAAAGACGATCATGATAGCAGAAACGAGGAATCTGCACACCTACTTTCTCACAAGCCTAAACACAGTTGGCATGTCAACATACTACATGGAATTAATAGAAGAAAATGTTCAATGCATTATTACCTGTAGAACAGTGGTCCCTGACTCCACCATGACAGGTTTTCCATCTACAAACACCTCAACCATATTGCTTGAGGCCCGGACTGAAGTCCGCACTGTTGTAAAAACAAGCCAGAAAATGATTGACAGTAAAAAAAAAAAGTCAGTAAAGAAGGGCACTACACTTGAATTTCAAAGATGAAAATAGAATGCAAATTACCATTGTTAGTGGTGGCAATGGAGCCCTTGGAATGGGCCGCACCAGCCAAAGCCCGACTTACTGCTGGCCAACGCAACATGTCGCTATAGGAGAAAATTCCAGTGATTAGAAGCACACGTAACATGTTGATCCCCAATATTTAATGAATAATATCTAGGTTAACAATGGATAAATATGCCACTGCACTTTGAAACAAGGACACTGTAAAGAAATAGACACAATATAATCTTACTGACCAGACCCTAGATATGCAAATGACAGTAATAATTATAAAATCTTTATTAAATGTCTGCTTAGTGAAGACAGTCAGCACAACAAATCCTTTGGCAAGGATTACAAAACCTGAGATTTTATAACATGCCCTAAAAAAAGCATGAAGCCCAATATTTATAAAAGAACCCATTTTAAATGTATCTAGGTATTGCACTGTTAAGGCAAAGTAGATCAGACACTTCAAATGTAAAACCAATGCTGTTGACATTTCCATCTATACACACACTGGTTTGCAGGCTAGCACTCAACAGCACTGCAGATTACTCAAGGACAGGGAGAACGTTACTGTAAATCACCCATGTTTCGCATGCATTTATAATTCCAGCCGATATACACAAAAGTAAATGTCCACACAAAATGCCCTTTACACTTTAATCTAGAGAAAATACATTCTTTAATTCTCACCTTGACGCTATTTGGCCTTCTAGACCAGAACAGCGTTACAGCCGCAGGTTCAGTTGTGAATGTGTACTCGGGTGTTTACGTAGATGACGGAAATAGCCGATGCACATTAATCTTTGAAAAAAAGACAAAAATATTTTATTTGATCAGATTATTCTATAATATAGGAAATGCATACGCGTATGTTAAAATACAAAGCTATATTAAATACATTTGATATGATTAATCTAACGTTTTTCGTTGACGTTTTAAATTTATCCGTCGTCATTTCCGCTCATAAAAGCGGTCGTTTCCTTCTCTTATTTCACATTAAAAGCCAAACAGTCAACTTGATTTTCGGTATCTGTGAAAAACAGGAGATGATTATCGTGCCGTCTTTATTGTGTATAAAAGTTAAGTTTTCCATACCTAGCGCAAAGTGCTGTGAAGAATGTCCCATTTTAGTATGTTTTTGTAAAATATGTCTGGGTGGGCGGAGTCAAAGCGTCAGCGGTATAAAGACCATCTCACGGTCTTTTCTCGTTCCTTCGCTCTCCCTCAAGCTCAGGGGTTCACGGCTGTACACGAGGTCTCACCGGTAACTTGTAACAATGGGCTTTGGTGATCTCAAAACACCCGCTGGACTCAAAGTTCTGAATGAGTTTCTGGCAGACAAAAGTTACATCGAGGGGTAAGCTATTTTAAGACTTTATTGATCAAGTCTTCTTAGCTGGCTTGTAACATCTTGTGATTGTCCTCTTTTTTTTTATGCTGTAATACTAAAATCATTTTGGCTGCAGTGATAAGCGTCAAAGGTCATGGTTATTCATTTTTTTAGCTATGAATATGGCATATGTATGTTCAGTCAAACATTGTAGGTCTGTATTTCTAGTAGCACACTTCCCCCAAGTGTTTGTCAGGAGCCACGTTTTCATTGCTGTACTGTGCATCCATTTATAAATATTCAGTTATGTAACTTTATCCATTTATAAATGTCTCTTATTGCTCATGGAGGAAAGCACCAGCCTCAATACACATTTTCTTGCCAGGTATGTGCCCTCTCAGGCTGATGTTGCAGTGTTTGATGCCCTGTCTGGTGTCCCCTCTGCTGACCTGTGCCATGCTTTGCGGTGGTACAACCACATCAAGTCTTACCACAAGGAGAAAGGCAGGTAATGAGAAGCTTATTTGTAATGTTTTGCAGGTACTTCCAGCAAAATATGATGATTATCCCATCACCATCTTTCGCCTGAGTGACTGATGCACAATCTTACAAATTCTGATTTGGCTGGGACTTCTCAGACCGTCAAAAGCAGGTGCTCTTGCTCGGTAACAAGAATTCACTCTCCTTTCCTTACCTTTAGCCTTCCAGGTGTGAAGAAGCCTCTCAGTCAGTACGGCCCTGCTGGTGTGGAGGACACAACTGGAGCAGCTCCTGCGGCGGCTGATGAAGACGACGACGATGACATCGATCTGTTCGGTTCTGATGAGGAAGAGGTTAGTTCTGTAGCAGAAGGGATGGTGTGTTTTGACAGGATTGCCTGGTCACATGATGATTTCTCTCACCATCTTTCGGCTGATGTTGTGATGGACAACTTTTTCTTCCTGAAAACCAGGTAGAAAATTGACCATGCAGTTGCTGTATGTATTTGCTCACCTGATCATGGATCTCTTTCTTTACAGGATGAGGAAACCAAAAAGATCAAGGAGGAGAGGCTTGCAGCATACAATGCAAAGAAGGCAAAGAGTATGTATTCATTGTCTTTTAAGTGCACCCTACCAGTTAAAAGGTTGCAATTGAGCTTTAACGTTTTTGAAGTCTCTTGTGCTCACCAAGGAAATCAGAAATCATTGTAATATGCTGATTTGGTGTGTTCAGTTATCAATAATGGTTCTTATCAATGTTGAAAACCGTTTTTGCTGCTTAAGTTTTGTGGAAACCGTTAAATTTGTTCCTAAATCTTACCCAAAACACTTTTAAATGTAGTGAATCATAGTTAACAAGCAGCAAAAAATTTTTTTTTTTTTCTAAATCAACATTAGAATGAATGAAATTAGATCTAGAATGATTTCTGAAGGATCATGTGACACAGAAGATTGATTGCTTCTATAAAAAAAATTAGCATTGCCATCAAACCAATAAATTACTTTTTAAAAATATTAAAATGGAATACAGTGTAATAATATTTTGCACTGTTACAGTGTTTTTATCACAGTCAGCCATGGTGAGCGTAACAGACTTCTTTCAATAACCTTAAATCCTAATTGTTCCAAACTTTTGACTGGTAGTGTGCATATAGTAACATTGTGACTAGTTTTGTGATGACTTCATATTACCATCTTTCGGCTGAATGATGTGATTGACACTCTTTTTAACCTGATATCCACTAGTCATTTCATTGTGATTGCTGGATTCCCGTGTTTGCTTTACCATTGACTATATTTTTAATGTCTGTGCAGAGCCTGCACTTATCGCCAAGTCTTCCATTCTGCTGGATGTCAAGCCCTGGGATGATGAAACCGACATGGCCAAGCTTGAGGAGTGTGTCCGCAGCATTCAGTTGGATGGTTTAGTTTGGGGACAGTGTAAGTCAAAATATAATCACTTGAATGCAAACAGCTTACCAAAACCGATGAAATGTTAGGCCTACCAAAACCGTTTTGTAATATGCTGATTTGGTGCTCAGTTATCAATAATGGTTCTTATCAATGTTGAAAACCGTTTTTGCTGCTTAAGTTTTGTGGAAACCGTTAAATTTGTTCCTAAATCTTACCCAAAACACTTTTAAATGTAGTGAATCATAGTTAACACAAGCAGCAAAAAAAATTTTTTTTTAACACAAGCACCAAATCAACATTAGAATGAATGAAATTAGATCTAGAATGATTTCTGAAGGATCATGTGACACAGAAGATTGATTGCTTCTATAAAAAAAATTAGCATTGCCATCAAACCAATAAATTACTTTTTAAAAATATTAAAATGGAATACAGTGTAATAATATTTTGCACTGTTACAGTGTTTTTATCACAGTCAGCCATGGTGAGCGTAACAGACTTCTTTCAATAACCTTAAATCCTAATTGTTCCAAACTTTTGACTGGTAGTGTGCATATAGTAACATTGTGACTAGTTTTGTGATGACTTCATATTACCATCTTTCGGCTGAATGATGTGATTGACACTCTTTTTAACCTGATATCCACTAGTCATTACATTGTGATTGCTGGATTCCCGTGTTTGCTTTACCATTGACTATATTTTTAATGTCTGTGCAGAGCCTGCACTTATCGCCAAGTCTTCCATTCTGCTGGATGTCAAGCCCTGGGATGATGAAACCGACATGGCCAAGCTTGAGGAGTGTGTCCGCAGCATTCAGTTGGATGGTTTAGTTTGGGGACAGTGTAAGTCAAAATATAATCACTTGAATGCAAACAGCTTACCAAAACCGATGAAATGTTAGGCCTACCAAAACCGTTTCTAATTTTGTATTTCAATGGACTAATTGTCACTTTTGACTTCTGTACAGCTAAACTGTTGCCTGTCGGCTATGGCATCAAGAAGCTGCAGATTGCCTGTGTTGTGGAAGATGATAAAGTTGGAACAGACCAGCTGGAGGAACTGATCACAGCCTTTGAGGACTATGTGCAGTCCATGGATGTGGCAGCCTTCAACAAGATCTAAAACCCCACCGAACAAAGCATTATTCCAATAAAAGCACTTCAAATGCACCTTTTGTTTCTGGTTTAGTTTTATGTGATTTCAGAATGATTCTCTGTGTGGCATCAAATTGAAAACGTTAAATATTTGCCATGAATGTAATGCTTTTAAAGGTTATTTCTTTCTTGGTCCCCTCTCTATCGGTGTTTTAAAATGTACTGAGCCATTTCTAATATACTGTGGCAGATATAACCAATAATTATGACTTTAGGTATTATTTTTAATGACATTTGCCTGCTTGATTATTATTTGTTGTGTGTTCTGAATTGGTCAAAATGTTCCACCCTTTCATGACAGGCATTGCACATGCTGCAACAGGCTGTTGATGAAGTACAGATGGGGAAAAAAATGCTTAAACTAAGACTTGTCATGTATTTTGATGACAATCGATAATATGTGCTAACAATGATGTTATAATCGTAGTGTGTTTGTGTATAATAATGCATGTTACCTTTGGTGCTTTCTCGATTTCCACCAGACACATGCGGCAGTTACCAGCCACTGAAAGACGATCATGATAGCAGAAACGAGGAATCTGCACACCTACTTTCTCACAAGCCTAAACACAGTTGGCATGTCAACATACTACATGGAATTAATAGAAGAAAATGTTCAATGCATTATTACCTGTAGAACAGTGGTCCCTGACTCCACCATGACAGGTTTTCCATCTACAAACACTTCAACCATATTGCTTGAGGCCCGGGCTGAAGTCTGCACTGTTGTAAAAACAAGCCAGTGTTAGAAAAGGATGGACAAATCAGTAGTGTTGCTTAGAATTCTTAAAGAAGGGCACTACACTTGATTTTCAAAGATGAAAAAATAATGCAAATTACCATTGTTAGTGGTGGCAATGGAGCCCTTGGAATGGGCCGCACCAGCCAAAGCCCGACTTACTGCTGGCCAACGCAACATGTCGCTATAGGAGAAAATTCCAGTGATTAGAAGCACACGTAACATGTTGATCCCCAATATTTAATGAATAATATCTAGGTTAACAATGGATAAATATGCCACTGCACTTTGAAACAAGGACACTGTAAAGAAATAGACACAATATAATCTTACTGACCAGACCCTAGATATGCAAATGACAGTAATAATTATAAAATCTTTATTAAATGTCTGCTTAGTGAAGACAGTCAGCACAACAAATCCTTTGGCAAGGATTACAAAACCTGAGATTTTATAACATGCCCTAAAAAAAGCATGAAGCCCAATATTTATAAAAGAACCCATTTTAAATGTATCTAGGTATTGCACTGTTAAGGCAAAGTAGATCAGACACTTCAAATGTAAAACCAATGCTGTTGACATTTCCATCTATACACACACTGGTTTGCAGGCTAGCACTCAACAGCACTGCAGATTACTCAAGGACAGGGAGAACGTTACTGTAAATCACCCATGTTTCGCATGCATTTATAATTCCAGCCGTTACACACAAAGTAAATATCCAGACAATATGCCCTTTACACTTTAATATACACAAAAGATCATCTTCAATTCTTACCTTGACGCTATTTGGCCTTCTAGACCAGAACAGCGTTACAGCCGCAGGTTCAGTTGTGAATGTGTACTCGGGTGTTTACGTAGATGACGGAAATAGCCGATGCACATTAATCTTTGAAAAAAAGACAAAAATATTTTATTTGATCAGATTATTCTATAATATAGGAAATGCATACGCGTATGTTAAAATACAAAGCTATATTAAATACATTTGATATGATTAATCTAACGTTTTTCGTTGACGTTTTAAATTTATCCGTCGTCATTTCCGCTCATAAAAGCGGTCGTTTCCTTCTCTTATTTCACATTAAAAGCCAAACAGTCAACTTGATTTTCGGTATCTGTGAAAAACAGGAGATGATTATCGTGCCGTCTTTATTGTGTATAAAAGTTAAGTTTTCCATACCTAGCGCAAAGTGCTGTGAAGAATGTCCCATTTTAGTATGTTTTTGTAAAATATGTCTGGGTGGGCGGAGTCAAAGCGTCAGCGGTATAAAGACCATCTCACGGTCTTTTCTCGTTCCTTCGCTCTCCCTCAAGCTCAGGGGTTCACGGCTGTACACGAGGTCTCACCGGTAACTTGTAACAATGGGCTTTGGTGATCTCAAAACACCCGCTGGACTCAACGTTCTGAATGAGTTTCTGGCAGACAAAAGTTACATCGAGGGGTAAGCTATTTTAAGACTTTATTGATCAAGTCTTCTTAGCTGGCTTGTAACATCTTGTGATTGTCCTCTTTTTTTTTATGCTGTAATACTAAAATCATTTTGGCTGCAGTGATAAGCGTCAAAGGTCATGGTTATTCATTTTTTTAGCTATGAATATGGCATATGTATGTTCAGTCAAACATTGTAGGTCTGTATTTCTAGTAGCACACTTCCCCCAAGTGTTTGTCAGGAGCCACGTTTTCATTGCTGTACTGTGCATCCATTTATAAATATTCAGTTATGTAACTTTATCCATTTATAAATGTCTCTTATTGCTCATGGAGGAAAGCACCAGCCTCAATACACATTTTCTTGCCAGGTATGTGCCCTCTCAGGCTGATGTTGCAGTGTTTGATGCCCTGTCTGGTGTCCCCTCTGCTGACCTATGCCATGCTTTGCGGTGGTACAACCACATCAAGTCTTACCACAAGGAGAAAGGCAGGTAATGAGAAGCTTATTTGTAATGTTTTGCAGGTACTTCCAGCAAAATATGATGATTATCCCATCACCATCTTTCGCCTGAGTGACTGATGCACAATCTTACAAATTCTGATTTGGCTGGGACTTCTCAGACCGTCAAAAGCAGGTGCTCTTGCTCGGTAACAAGAATTCACTCTCCTTTCCTTACCTTTAGCCTTCCAGGTGTGAAGAAGCCTCTCAGTCAGTACGGCCCTGCTGGTGTGGAGGACACAACTGGAGCAGCTCCTGCGGCGGCTGATGAAGACGACGACGATGACATCGATCTGTTCGGTTCTGATGAGGAAGAGGTTAGTTCTGTAGCAGAAGGGATGGTGTGTTTTGACAGGATTGCCTGGTCACATGATGATTTCTCTCACCATCTTTCGGCTGATGTTGTGATGGACAACTTTTTCTTCCTGAAAACCAGGTAGAAAATTGACCATGCAGTTGCTGTATGTATTTGCTCACCTGATCATGGATCTCTTTCTTTACAGGATGAGGAAACCAAAAAGATCAAGGAGGAGAGGCTTGCAGCATACAATGCAAAGAAGGCAAAGAGTATGTATTCATTGTCTTTTAAGTGCACCCTACCAGTTAAAAGGTTGCAATTGAGCTTTAACGTTTTTGAAGTCTCTTGTGCTCACCAAGGAAATCATTGTAATATGCTGATTTGGTGCTCAGTTATCAATAATGGTTCTTATCAATGTTGAAAACCGTTTTTGCTGCTTAAGTTTTGTGGAAACCGTTAAATTTGTTCCTAAATCTTACCCAAAACACTTTTAAATGTAGTGAATCATAGTTAACAAGCAGCAAAAAATTTTTTTTTTTTTCTAAATCAACATTAGAATGAATGAAATTAGATCTAGAATGATTTCTGAAGGATCATGTGACACAGAAGATTGATTGCTTCTATAAAAAAAATTAGCATTGCCATCAAACCAATAAATTACTTTTTAAAAATATTAAAATGGAATACAGTGTAATAATATTTTGCACTGTTACAGTGTTTTTATCACAGTCAGCCATGGTGAGCGTAACAGACTTCTTTCAATAACCTTAAATCCTAATTGTTCCAAACTTTTGACTGGTAGTGTGCATATAGTAACATTGTGACTAGTTTTGTGATGACTTCATATTACCATCTTTCGGCTGAATGATGTGATTGACACTCTTTTTAACCTGATATCCACTAGTCATTTCATTGTGATTGCTGGATTCCCGTGTTTGCTTTACCATTGACTATATTTTTAATGTCTGTGCAGAGCCTGCACTTATCGCCAAGTCTTCCATTCTGCTGGATGTCAAGCCCTGGGATGATGAAACCGACATGGCCAAGCTTGAGGAGTGTGTCCGCAGCATTCAGTTGGATGGTTTAGTTTGGGGACAGTGTAAGTCAAAATATAATCACTTGAATGCAAACAGCTTACCAAAACCGATGAAATGTTAGGCCTACCAAAACCGTTTCTAATTTTGTATTTCAATGGACTAATTGTCACTTTTGACTTCTGTACAGCTAAACTGTTGCCTGTCGGCTATGGCATCAAGAAGCTGCAGATTGCCTGTGTTGTGGAAGATGATAAAGTTGGAACAGACCAGCTGGAGGAACTGATCACAGCCTTTGAGGACTATGTGCAGTCCATGGATGTGGCAGCCTTCAACAAGATCTAAAACCCCACCGAACAAAGCATTATTCCAATAAAAGCACTTCAAATGCACCTTTTGTTTCTGGTTTAGTTTTATGTGATTTCAGAATGATTCTCTGTGTGGCATCAAATTGAAAACGTTAAATATTTGCCATGAATGTAATGCTTTTAAAGGTTATTTCTTTCTTGGTCCCCTCTCTATCGGTGTTTTAAAATGTACTGAGCCATTTCTAATATACTGTGGCAGATATAACCAATAATTATGACTTTAGGTATTATTTTTAATGACATTTGCCTGCTTGATTATTATTTGTTGTGTGTGTGTGTGTCAGTTTAGCATGACTGTGGGAGCTATGGAAGAAATTCATAGTTTGCAACATTTATGTTGTTACCATCAAGGTATGCAATCTGAATTTTCTATAAAGATTATTTTGAGTTTGCAGCCGCATTGATTAAATTCCGCCTCGGACTTCACTCTTACGTCACTCCACGAGCAGACCTGAGCTAAATCCGGATACCGATGGGATCTAAGTGGAATAACATCTATAATCAGGTGACAGCACGGTGAAGACTGCAGCCAAATTTTGTTGAGAGATTTTGCAGATTATATATAAGTGAATATTTACCATGCCGCTGTCCACGTTGTCATGCTAAGTGTCACTAGCTTGCTAAGGGAACTAGCATAGATGGCTAGCTTAAACTACAAATGGTGTGTTCCCAAACAATGTGGATAGTCTGAAACCGTATAAAAATTTAAGCGTTTTCAAATACATTTTACGTCAAAGTGTATTTGTGGTAATATTGGGACGCGCTGTTTAAATAGCCTTGTTTGTGTGTGCAGGCCGGTACATAAATATGAGTATTAATTTATATGTCAGTTTAGCATGACTGTGGGAGCTATGGAAGAAATTCATAGTTTGCAACATTTATGTTGTTACCATCAAGGTATGCAATCTGAATTTTCTATAAAGATTATTTTGAGTTTGCAGCCGCATTGATTAAATTCCGCCTCGGACTTCACTAGTGGGCGGATTCCCGCGCTTCACTCTTACGTCACTCCACGAGCAGACCTGAGCTAAATCCGGATACCGATGGGATCTAAGTGGAATAACATCTATAATCAGGTGACAGCACGGTGAAGACTGCAACCAAATTTTGTTGAGAGATTTTGCAGATTATATATAAGTGAATATTTACCATGCCGCTGTCCACGTTGTCATGCTAAGTGTCACTAGCTTGCTAGGAGAACTAGCATAGATGGCTAGCTTAAACTACAAATGGTGTGTTCCCAAACAATGTGGATAGTCTGAAACCGTATAAAAATTTAAGCGTTTTCGAATACATTTTACGTCAAAGTGTATTTGTGGTAATATTGGGACGCGCTGTTTAAATAGCCTTGTTTGTGTGTGCAGGCCGGTACATAAATATGAGTATTAATTTATGAGTAGTTAAAGCTGGACCGTAAAAACATTCACAAGAATCACAAGTTCGTCATATACGTGTTTTAAAGTATCCTGTGGTTACTGAAACCACGCCTTCTTTCTTTGCGTGCACATTTGGGTGGCATTATGCTAATATTTCCACATAGTGAGGTAGATATGTGGGGGCATGTTAGAACGAGCCGTTTTAGGGGGGCGTGGCAGAGTCTTAACTTTGATAAAGAATATCTCTTTGGTTTTGAGACTTTAGTCTTTGCAACTTCAGGGATCTTATCTATGCACAATCAGCTTGTAACCCTCCAAAGAGAAAGGAAAACTTGAAATCGCATCATATGACCCCTTTAATAAATAAGAACAATTTAAATGTTTTAAGGGTATATTTAACATTTGAAAGATTAGTAAATTTGGTATTGTGTTGGGTTACCACTGATGTCCAATGTAATATATGTGTCCTGAAGCAAAACTAGTTGAGAAGCAATGATTTAGAGAATGCATTTACATGTCTTGTCATGTGTTGTAGATGCAGAGAGGCGTCCAGCTGACATGTCCGGCAGGTGAGTTGTCTGAAATTAAATTTGCAGCAATCCATTAGCCATCCCATTATGTTTAAATTACAAATCTAAAACAAATAAATATCTAAATCTATTATTTACCCCATCTGAAGGACTAGTAGAGGAGAAGAGCCTGTTGCTGGTCCTTCCAGCTCCCAAAGACAGGGTTACTGCAGCTGCTGTCAAGTTCTGTACAATAGTGTGGAACAGGTACATAACTCTCCGTCATTCCTCCTTTTTGAATTACTGTTGTGGTTAATGTATTGGTCAAAGTATTTGTTAAGCATGGGTTAATAGTTCCATTTTAACAATTTAATGTGAACCACTACCAAATATATTTGGCATTTTATAGTACCTTTGGGAATCCGTGTATCATTTGATCATTCGTTTTTTTTATTTAATATTGAAAGTAGAAAAATTAGAAAACGGCTCCTTTTTAGTTTTTTAGCTGGGAATTCAGCTTAAATTTTCGTTTTTTGTTCATGGGTGGAAAAATGAATAAACAGATTGAATATTCGATTTCTACACGTGGACGGGAATTAAACGCCCCTTTCTGCTGATTGGTCAGCCGAAGATCAATCCGTGCCTTCATCAGTTCTTCTGCAGTATCACGAATAATAGTCCTCCACTGCTGCAGTTGTATGGATTTTTAACACATTTATTGCAACTACATTTAATCTTTTTTCATCAAACAAACAGGCTAATGAATAGCTCGACACAACTCATACAGAGTCTAGACAGGGCTTTCTTCTGTGTAGATATAAATTCTATTTTTGGATCAGCTGGGCATGGCAGGGTATGATATGACAGCTGTCATAGCCTACCCTGCTCACCCAGTTAGTATGTTTGTTTAATTAAGAAATTAATTTGTTTCAAAATAAATATTTTAAACACTAAGACAAATTGGCTTGGGTTGGCCTATGTTCACGCAAGAACTGTCATTCTGACTGACAACCGGAGAACAACAGATATTAAATAGCCTACTGGAGTTACATAATGTAGTCTTGTTTTATTAAAATTGATTATAATTGATATCTCAAAAGGATATGCACTTGTGCGCGGCGTGAGCTGATTTAAGTGAGTACTGATTAAAGTTCACTTGGATTTTTTTTTCCCCATCGAGGGGAAATAACTTAATACTCTGTCATTTATAGTCGTATGGTAAAATGTATATTTTTATTTGTGTAACTTTATGTCCAAAATAACTAAAAAATGTCATGCCTTTGAAAAATAAAGAGAACAACAGAATGCGTTGCTTTAGCACGTCTCAGTGTCCTTGAGCATCTTTCTGGTGCATGCCACAAACATGAACCACAGGGAATACTTGTCTTTTAAAAGGCTTCATTTAGATTATTTGACATTAAATGCATCATATAAGTCACTTTGGAATAAATCACAGTAAGCCTATGTATCATGATTAAAAAAAAAAGCGACTTTACAGTCTAGTAATACTTTAGGCTATAGCAAATTATTTCGCGGACCCCCTATCACTTTAAGAACCGCTGGTCTACACAGAAGAAAGACCTGTCTAGACTCTGCCCTGGTACGAGTTGTGTCGAGCAGTTCATTAGTCTGTTTGATGAGAAAAATATGAAATGTAGTTGCAATAAAATGGGTTATTAATCCATACAACTGCAGCAGTGGAGGACTATTATTCGTGATACTGCAGAAGAACTCATGACGGCACGGTTTGATCTTCGGCTGACCAATCAGCAGAAAGGGCGTTTAATTCCCGCCCACATGTAGAAATCGAGTATTCAAGCTGTTTATTCATTTTTCCACCCATGAACGAAAAACGAAAATTTAAGCTGAATTCTCGTTTTTTGGAAAAAGGAGCCGTTTTCTAATTTTTCTACTTTCAATATTAAATAAAAAAATGGACGATCGAATGATACACGGATTTTGGGGTCTTAAAGATTTTAATATCATTCATTTATGATAATCAGACCTCTTTATAACTATTAATATTATGACATTCTGAGTTACGGCTTTTTTGTAAGCAATTTGTTGTTGTATTCTGCAGCACATCTTGAGTTCCCAACATAGAGAAGTGGTACGAGCTGCTAGAGCTAATGTTTCTTCTGGAAGTATGTTAGAGAGATTCCTCCAGGATGTGCTTCAGCACCATCCTCATCACTACAGTGATTCACGGTATTCTACCCACATTAGATTTCTTATAGCCTTGTTGACATGTTCCTATAACTAGGGCTGGGTATCGAGTTAGATACTTTTTAGGCACCGACCGAATTGCCTCAATACCATCGAGTATCGAAAAATGTCTTGTCATTCGGTACCAAATTTTGATGCCTAAGGGGTTAATCTCATCAAAATCAGTAAGGCAATAAGCATACGGCATGCTTTGTGCCTAAATCAGTGATTGGCTCTGGCGAGGCATCAAGTAAAACGTATGTAACGTGACCATTCATTCATACTGTAGCATCATGCTACATAAGACAATTTATAAAATTTATACTATGGTTTTACTCAAAACTCACTTTAAACCACCATTGAGTGTTTAACTTCCAATTACGATCTAATGAGGATTTTGGTCATATAATGTTGCAGAAATATGTTATTTGTTGCCTTTTATATCAAGCTGATCGCTACATCTGCTTTGAGTTTACATTTACAATTACATGTATTCATTTAGCAGACGCTTTTATCCAAAGTGGCTTACAATTGAGGAATACAACAAGCAATTCATCATAAAGAGGCAAATAAACACGGGAAGTGCACATAATACAAAGTTTCAAGCATTGTTCAGATAAGTTCAAGCTAGACAGGGATTAAGGAAAGAGAAGGAAAAGTGTTTTTTTTGTTTGTTTGTTTTCTAAGATGCAGTCAAATGAAGCATTTCTCATTTAAATACACTTTATTGTTATGAAAATTGGCAGAATCTCATGAAAATCACATACAAATTAAGTCGTAATTGCGCGTTTATTAGCTTCATGTTTCATCCCTTTAAATGTTTTTCTGGATGTGTAACGCACGTTCATCCTCGGAGACAGAGCAGGTTATGAACGTGTAATATGAGTGACATTAAAACAGCGAATTAGCTTCCTCTGAGTCAGAACAGCGATCGCGGAAGAGAAAACACAGACAGACATTGCTAGAAGCAGCTAATGCTCATCAGATCCTCACATACTGACTTAAAACTGTTAATTATGCACTGAAAAAAACTATTTGAACTTTATTTGCACTGATATATTGTGTTGGTTTCATTTTGTTCCTTTGTGCAGTGTCTCAGGAGATGAGTCTTTGAGTCTGTAAAAGCCTCAACAAACTGAAAAACATAGTTTTATGAGGTAATGTAAGTTTTTTTTTTTTTTTTTTTTTTTTTGAGATAATGTAATTTTGTTCAAATGGATATCATAAAATAGGTATCGAAAAAAGTATCGTTTTGAACTATACCCAGCCCTACCCATAACATATTACATACTTTGAGCTTTGTGAATTGAAAAAAAAGGCATTTTCAGTCACTGTTTTTGACCCTTTTTTTTCTCTGTAGGCCTACCCATGCTGATCTACCTTCATTAAACACCCCACTTGTCCCAAAGGAGGTGCTCTCAGAGGTGTACTGTGGATCAGATGATGATGGTGTCTCTGTTGGGACACGTGAGGAGATGCCTACCTCTGATGAAGAGTCATGTGAAATGCTGCAAATTGCAGCCTCAACTCCAGGAGTGATGACTGACCTTACTGCATCTACACGCATACATACCACTTCCCAAATAGTAAAAATGGTGCCTGAACCACCTCCCTCTGAAAAGTACTCCCCCACACAGGGTTTTTTGCACAGAACTAGTGGCAGCTCTGCCAATGACAAGCCACATGCATCACAACTGACACTACCTGTTCAGAGACAAAGCTCACAAACACACCGCTCTGTACATCCCTGTGCTTCAGAGGGTCCACCAGTCACCAAGACTGGAGATGTTGAACACAGGAAAGCACACAAGAAGACCAATAGGGATAAAGAGGGGAGCGACTCCATTACAGCTTCCCATGCCCCACCAATTGCAAAGTGCATTACCTCGAAGGACCAGCCTGCAACCTTTCAATCAGTGGCTGAAGAGTCCACAATGTGGATTTCAGCACTGCCACCTTGGAAAGGCCCCCATAGGGAACAGACATTCAGTCATCTATCTGACCAGATTCGAGATGTGATAGAGGAGGTTATTGAAAAATACTGTTATGTCGATCAGCGGGAGGATGATGGTAGCTTCATTCTGAGTCCTCAGTCTATGAGTGAATCCAAAGGCAGTGAAGAATGGGACACTGCAATACAGATGGCTCTGGGAAAGGCAAAGGGTGAAGAAAAAAATTTAGCCGAGTTACTGGAAGTGCATATAAACCTTGAAGACCAAGGATACCAGACTCAGCTGGACACAGCCCTAAACACTGTGGGAACACCTGAGGAAAACAAGGAGAGTTCTGCTGATAAGGTGTTTCCCGATCTTCCCCACATACCACAGTCTTTTGTTGGCAAAACATTTACACAGGTGATGTTTGAAGATGAGATGAAGATAGACTCCATAGTGAAAGAGTTCCAACAAGGCCAATTCCGTTGCTATTTTGACAGTGAATCATTAGCTAGGTTTGGGAAGCACATTAAGAAAAGGAGAAAGAAAAAGAATCAGGACAAAAAAGAGAAAGCAAATAATGCTGGGTGGGAGCCTACAGACATCTTGCCACTCATGGATCACAATGAAGAAGACCCCAAACATTCCGCTATTTTGTTGAAGAAATCTAGGCATAAAATTTACAGACTTGCATCACGTTGCCAAGTGGTAAAGGTAAGCCACAGTACACAGACCATCCCTCTTAGTTGCCCTGTGGTGCGGCGAAAATCGTCACAAGAAACATTCCCCTCCACACACAGTGAAGAGCCCCAGCAATGCCCTAGCCCTGAAAGGACCCCTGACATGAAGACCAGACTCTGTGCTTTGAAGCTTCCAGCTTCTTACTGCAAGATAATGAGTCCTCTACAGCCCAAAACTGTGGTCTTTGTGCTTTCTTCCCCAGATGGGGGTCAAGGATTCTCCAAGCCCACCCCTATTAAAAAAGCAGGGAGGAAACGGAAGTCATGTGATAGCAATGTTGGCCTGAAGTACAAATACAAAAAGACACCTCTTAAGTTCTATGACCCTTTGACCAATAGGATCTTAAAGAGTCCACCAAAAGGCATGTCTTTATCCTGTAATTCCAAATCTCTTTCACACGTCCGACAGCTATTCCGTAGCCTTAGTCCGGATATTAATAAAGAGAGGCAGGGCCTGGAGCAGGGGCAGTCATCAGGAGGTTCTTGGAAGGGCCGTGGTAGGAGCAGCATGGTTGATCTGTGTACCTCCACCTCAGACTCTATTCTGGATAGCGGTGGCCCCTCAGAACCTGGTTCTTCTTTGTCTAGCAGCCAAAGAGCCTTATTCACCCGCTCCTCTATCTCAAATAGCAGTTGTTTCCTCCTCGGACATCTCACGCCATCTACCCATGTGGATGATTCTTCCAAAGCACTTTCTCACTCTTGTGCGGGCAGTTCCTATAAGGTTGGAGGACTGGAACAAGAGGAACACCGCCAACAAACACCAGTTGACCAAACACCAATCAGACGTAGCTCACGGAGGGCTGGACCTTTGATTCCAGCCAGGCGACCACCAGTACCCCCTTACAGGACCAAGAGGAAGTCACCCAAACCACAGCGCAAAGCAAAATCACAAGGCAATCTCCAGCAAACTGTTAGCTCCCGTATATCTGCAGAATGTAGGACATCTCCCAGAAACAAGAGCCCTGCTAGGACCTCACTTAGATCATCGGCTTCCTCTAAACTGGCAATTCAGCCAGTTATTACATCCTCTTCTAAACAAATAAATAGAATGCTCAGTGCCAGTCAGCAGAAGAGAGTGAGGGGGAGGACGGCCACTGTACATATAGCAGACTGAACGTTATCAGACACCAGCCATGAGCATAAGCTGTCTTCTGTTCTTCAAATGCTGTATAGTTTTGCACAGTTGAATTTCAGCTTTCACAGTTTCTAGTTGAAGTTCTTTTTTGTCTGTATATGTTTGTTTATTTGTCAAATGCTTTTTTTTTTTTTTACTTGTAATGAGTATATTTTTTAAGTTTATAATGGGTATTTTCTCAAAGGTTGATGGTTGTAAATTAAATTTATAATGAATATTTTTGTCCTTGATGATACATCATGAGCATGTTTTTTCACAATGGGTTTTGGCACTCTATTAAATTGTCTTTAAAATAGCAAACCAACAAATGCAAAAACTGCTTAAGTCAGCAATACACCAAGAGCAATTGTGCTCTTTGGGAATCAGCCATTCATTCTCTCTCACAAACACACAATACAAATGCCTTTATAGGCTTTTTACACTATGTAGTTTAAATGTGGATTGATGTTTGCTCCCACTGCAGAGATAACGGTACATCTTTTTATGTGCATATATTATTGCACTAACACTTTGCCTAATGGTTGTTGAGATCAAAGCATTTAAGAAGAGCCCAGCAGCCATGGTGATGGTTGCGATATTCCATGAAAGTGGCAGAAGCTACAACATTGTTTTTAAAAAGTGAAGTGAGGTTGGTTCATTGTCTTTTCTCTACTATGTGGCTGGAGAAGAAATTAAACAACTATGTCTCCTGAGTGACCGTGGAAGCCTGAATATAACAGGTCTTTACAAGGTTAACGCTTCACATAAAACACTTCACAGAGAGCAATACATACAGTCAAGTATTGGGTCCATACACTAATACTGGAAAAACAATAGCAGATTATACCCCTTAGTGCAAAATCGTAGTGGTGTGGGTTGAAATACATGCAATAGAAAAATACATTTGTATGTAAGGCAGCAATAAGCTTATATACAGATTTAGAAATATAAAATACGTGTGCAAATAGTGACTGAAAAAAAATCAGCTTATTTTCTTGACGAAGATACACTTTTAATTACCTGACTAATGTATTTAATAACCTATAAAAGACTAAAGCTTTTATTTCAGAGCTTGTGGGCTAGTGTATAATCACTCTAGTTGTCTTAATGTATTCTAACCATTGAGAAGTAAATGGTACATTTTCTATTAGCTAGGATGAGTGTGTTGGCGAGTGTACCAAGTGAGGATGGTTGACGCGTCAGCGCTGCATAAGATGCACTGCGCAATCGCATTGGCTTCCCTTACGATATGTGCTGCTTGGCCACCGCCTTCCATCCATCCGAGCTGCCACCCCTTCGCCTTCTTCCCAGTCCTCCCTACCCCTCAGCATCCCAACCGTGCTACCCACCCCTCAGTCTCCGATGCTGCATGAGGGATTTCCCCCTCTTCCCGCGGGATACGCACCAAAATCGCTCTCATAATAATGGACTGCGACGCTCGCTCTAAATTGATGCGCTAATGACATTTTATTTAGTCTTCAAATATGAATCATGCGTCTGATATTCCATCTGTGTCTGCTCGCTAGCATATTTATTTCCGTGCCATCTTCTATCGCCTTAACCTCAACGGGTGAGTATGTTTATCTTGCGTAACTTTATTATTTATATAATACGTCTTTATTCGATATTTGCTATATGTTACGTTGGTATTAGTGCAAGGTGTTTTTCCAACGCCTTTTGTTGCGGTAGGAAATCCCAGCTAAATACGCAGATTCTCTGTAGGCTTTGATTGAGCCGCCTCCATTACTTAACTGTGTTTACGGCCGTTTATACGTGTCAATCTATGCAGAGGGGGGTAAAGCTTTTGAAGGCCTCTGTATGGGTTGACAGCCCCATTAGTATGGTGCTGTACGGGAACATGGTAAGGACTTAGTGAGGCGCGCTGAATCTTAATTCGATTACCATGACAATAGATTATTATTAGCTGACATGAATGGGCGTCTAAAGCTTTTACAATTCAGATATCAGATATCCAGATATGCAGCTGATAAAAGTTGAGAAAAAAAATTCGATATGGGTATGTTTTGCCAATAAGTGTCTCTTATGTCTCTTCTGCCATTACATGTATCATATCTCACCCTCTCACCCACTGCCTTGAATGTGTGATCAGATTTCAGTGTTTTATTTGGTTATCAGCCGTAGTGCCTCCGTTCGATACCCTGAGATCTGCATAAGGGAGATCTGTGCGCAGCTTCTCTGCAGCATCACAGGGCTGCAACTGCTGGCACACGTTCATATATAATTGACGGGATCCCTCTCTGAGATGGAGACTGTGAAGCAGTAAACAATTTCCTCCTTTCCTGCAGTCTCCAGCTTCGTACAGAATGAGGATCTCAGGGATCAGCAGGTGCCTGAGACCCCGCGAGAAGCGACAGCAGCGGCACCGGGCAATTCCACGGGTAGAAAACCCGGAGAGCACGAGGTCACGGTCACATATCCCTCCCGGCTCATCTACTACTTGAATGAGGAGTCGGAGAGCACGTATCGTGACCTGGACACTCGGACGAGGAGCCAGGCCAGTGATGGACAGGTGAGACATGGGCTGTCTTGCAGTGTAAAGATTCCCAGCACTGCATATTTGAGCCCCCACCAAATTCAGGTCTTCAGGAAGCTGCTTTCTTTCAAACTGCTAGGAGCTGCTGGGAATGGTGCAGTATGTCCAAATTCTCAGAGCTGATCAAGGTTCACCAGCCCTCCCTCACAAATCTAACACACTTTTCGCAAAAGAAGCAGTTTTCACTCCCCCCACTCTCTGTACTGAACAGACGTTGTGGGATTGCATTGTGCACACACTTTCACTTTACTTTTGCCAGTGCAGTATTTTTGCTGTAAAGCAGCACAGCTGTGTGATTTATGTTGCTCTAGAGCGGATGTTTTATCTGTCTGCACTTACAGAGATTTGCTTGTTGAAAATATGATTTAATGTGTCTGCAGAAATGAAATTTTCACAAAAAGATTTTTTTGAATAACATTTGCAGGCTTTGCTGGCAGGTTTGATATAGCAACTTATGTTTGTTTTGTGAAGTGTTAATGAGCCCCTATTTATCTCCCTGACCACAGGATGTCCACCTGGCCCAAGCAAGTTTCCAGCTGGATGCCTTCGGCACCACATTCACTTTGGACCTTACATTGAACAAGTAAGTGTGTGTGTCTGAGTAGCAAAAGACAGATTTGGTTTCAAAAACAAAGAATTGCTCTGTTGTTTAGTTGTGCATTGTTCAAATATCACATTTTTAAAATTGAAAATTGATATTTTTTTCCCTTTTGCATGGTGCATGGGGATTTCTAATTTCGCTAAATTTCATTGTGAGTTTATCGCACAAATTCAGTCCATTCAGTCATCTCCTCCATTTGTCTATTGTCTGTCAGCACCTTTACATTCAAGGTATTTGCTGAAAAGCAAAAAAACACTTTGGTTTAAATATCATCCGAACTGTGTGAATGCTGTCTAACTTTCTGGCAAGGTTCTCCCAAAGTTATCAACAAACATTCTTCCAGTAACATTAAAGGGGTCATATGATGCGATTTCAAGTTTTGCTTTCTCTTTGGAGTGTTACAAGCTGAATGTTCTCAAAACGTTAGCACTGTAACATTATGTATTCATCGCTAATGGCATGTTTTTGTGAAACATTTTAATAACTTTTCTAAATGTTAAAATTGACTAGTTTCAGGTTCAGAGAGCATTCAAAAGTAACTTTCCCAGAATGTTTGCAAAATTATAAAATGCAACGTTCCCTTAATGGTTTCTTTAACATTCACATAACCAAAATAAAATCAATAAAAATAATAAAAATGTAAACATTTAAAAACCTGTATGTTTTGAACATTCAGAGAACATTCAGGAATATTGTTTTCATAACTTAATGGGAACATTATAGCAAAATTTTCTTAGAACATAAGTTTGTTAACTGGGGATGTGAGGTGCTAATTGTTTTATGTGGTATCAAGTGTGATATCCCTGTTAATTTACATTTATTTATTTAGCAGATGCTTTTATCCAAAGCAAATTCAAATGAGAAACATCACAAGTAATTTGTCATATTGCCAACAATATTATTATCAGGTTTAGTAGAAAGCTAGATTAGGAAACAAGCAAGGGCAAAGGTAAAATGCTGACAAGAAGCTAAAGTATTTTTTGTAGTAGTAAGTGCTTTGGTTGTGCTTAAGTGCTTGTGGAAGAGGTCTGTCTTCAGCTGCTCTTTGAAAGTTGTAATAGTCACAGAAGATGGGGTGCAGGTCAGCAGCTCATTAAAAGAATTGTTATTTATACAAGTTTTGCACGGTTAAAATGAGTATGCACTGCAGCACAGTTTTATATCTGGTGTCATTCAAAATTCAGAAGCATTGTGACACTATTTGATCACAAGTCATCAGTAGTTGCCAAACGTTTTGGCTTCCACATCACGTTAACCAGAAATATCCAATACCAGAGGTCACAGTTTAAAAAGGATGAAAATTTTAAATTCTGTCATCATTTATTCCCCCTTATATCGTTCCAAACATGTATGACTATTTTTCTATTAAAAGAATTGTTATTTATACAAGTTTTGCACAGTTAAAATGAGTATGCACTGCAGCACAGTTTTATATCTGGTGTCATTCAAAATTCAGAAGCATTGTGACACTATTTGATCACAAGTCATCAGTAGTTGCCAAACGTTTTGGCTTCCACATCACGTTAACCAGAAATATCCAATACCAGAGGTCACAGTTTAAAAAGGATGAAAATTTTAAATTCTGTCATCATTTATTCCCCCTTATATCGTTCCAAACATGTATGACTATTTTTCTCCGGTGGAACACAAAATAATATATTTTGAAAAATGTCTGAGGGTTTTTAGTCTATAAAATAAAATGCAAAGGCGGTACAATTTTTCTCCATATTTAATGTGCACATCATTTTCACTTAGTCTTTTAGAAAATATTTAAACACATTTAAGCCATAAATAAGAATTATTATTGCTGCCCACTTTCTTTTCATTAGATGAATTATATGTTTGCAAGTGTCTATTTTTGCAAGCTAAAATGCATTTAGGCTGATTAATTGTCAGCTTGTGACAGCTATAAAAATAGGATCAGTTGCAGCAACAGAAGTGTTTGTGATCATGGGATTAAAAAACTTTTCTGTTTCGGTTTTCTTCAAAAAAAGAATGTTTTGGGACATCTGATGGTGAATTACGCTATTGATGCTGTTGAATATACTGTATATATATTTATCACACAACATTCAATTTGCTCTTCAAATACACATTTAATGCATTTTTATGTATATTTACTATGCCTTAACAAACCTATGTGGCAGAATTCCTAAAGATGTGATGCAGCTTCTGTTCCACTAACAGCGTGGAGGTCTCAAAGCTAGAACAGCTGATACAGAAGACAGTGTTCTCCCAATGCATGCTTATTAAGCACATAGGTGCATGGGATCCGAGGCTCTAGATTTATTGTTGTGCAAGATTGCCCCTTTGAATTCTCTCTCTCACTTTGATTTTAGTGATCTGCTCTCTTCAGATTATGTGGAAATCCACTATGACAAAGACAAGCCAGTGCTCTCCAGGGTAAGACAGAAAGAGCAGCACACCAATATAAAACAGACCCCTGAAAATAACTACTACATAGCAGTGATGAATGTGCATTTGTTTAGGGCGGGGAACACTGCTACTACCATGGCCACGTGAGAGGAAAAGAAGACTCCCGTGTAGCTTTATCCACCTGCAACGGGCTTCAGTAAGAAACCTTGTTTTGTTTGTATGTGTGTGAGTGAGATAAAGAGAGTGCAGGAGAGAAAATCTGACCTGGAGACCTACTGTGAGGCCAGATGGCACTTGGTACACATGAAAAGATTTGAATGTCACCATGTTAGTGTGTGCTTGAGTGTCACAGAGAGTAGCCAAGGGAAAGAGCAGAGTGTTTGTTCGGTTAGAAAAGCATAGTTGTAGTCACTTGACGAGTGATTTGACTCATTGCGGTTTTATCTGTCCTTCTTCCTGTATCCTTTTTCCGATTGACATCCCTGACTCTCTTTTCCCAACCCCCTTCTTGTGCTTCACTCTTCCAGTGGGATGTTTGATGATGGTAATTTTGTCTATCTCATCGAGCCTTTGAAACAGACTCACACCGTGAGTAAAGATCACTTTAATATAGCTTATCCTTTTTGATTTCATTACTCGCACAGCTCGTCTACAAAGGTCACCATGTTTGTACCTTTTAGGAAACGGAAGCAAGACCCCATACTTTGCGCCGAACATCATCGCTCCATGTGACCTCTGTCCCAGGTGCCTGGGGTAAGTGTGCCAAGGTCATGGTAACAGATATATGGCAAGATATTATATCCACACCCCCTTATCTCCATGGTTACCTTCATGTCTGTTTCTCTCAGCTGCTGATGACCCAATTGAGGAAAAAGAAGAGGAGAAGCGTATTTTTGCTAGCATGCCTTGGCTAAAGCGAAGGAGGAAAAGAGCTGTAAGAAATGACTCTCAACCTTTTCCGTGTGCTCCACTGTTTCAGTGGAAACCTCTATAAATGCTACCTCATACTTAAGTGCTATGCTCTCTGAATGTATAATTTTGATTTTATTATTTTTTAAGATGCCACGTAACATTTTTGAGGAAATGAAGTATCTGGAAATAATGATCGTCGCTGACCACAACACGGTGGGTTCATCCACAACACATTACAAGCCTCCTGTATAAATTAGCCAAGTCTGAAAATGTTTTTTAATCCTTTTTTTTATATGTTTTTGAATCAAAGATAAATAAATTGTTATCCACTAGAGGGCACTGAATAACAAATGTTCCCTTATTTTTCACATACTGTAGAACCAAAAATGTTCAGAATACACCTTGAAACTTATTTCCTTTTTTTTCATCTCTTGTTTTTGCAGTTTAAAAGGCATAAGAGTAAAAAGCATACCCGGAACTCTGCCAAATCAGTGGTCAACTTTGTAGATGCTGTATGTTCACATATTAATTGCTGTAAAATATTTTCTTAATAGTCACTCAATTTATAATCTTCTTAATCTAAAATTCCAATGATATTCTCTTTAGATTTTTAAGGAGCAGCTGAATACGCGTGTGGTATTGGTTGCTGTGGAGATTTGGACTGACAGGGACCGGATTCCGCTGAGCGTGAAACCATTGGAAATGCTAAGCAACTTTTCAAAGTACAGACAACAGAACATCAACATCAACGCTGATGCCGTGCACCTCTTCACGTGAGTTGAAGTCTCTTGAATGAATGAGGTGTGATAGCCTGGTGGTTAAGGATGTTGGCCAGTAACCGAAAAAAATCGGTTCAGTTGTTGGTGTAGAAGCGTAACTGAGAATTCTGAATTTGTGTTGGTCATTCTCAGGAAATGTGTGTGCTAAGAGAATGCTGGACTTATGTCACAATACTTCATTTAACACTGGTTAGTGTATAATGCAATATATAATGCATATTTTAAAATATAGCATTGCATTTTTTATAACTGGAATATCAGCCAATTTGCATATCCCTATTCATCACCATTACATTTTTAGTTATATTTTGGAAAAAAAAATTTTTTTTATTTTATTTTACTGAAAATAAAATATTTAATATCACTATATATATATTTATATATACTGTATTGTTGCATATATTGGTGGTGTGTGTTCCAAAGGAAGAGGAATTGGTGTTAATGAGGTAAGGTTGACACATGCAGCATTCTGGGTAGACAGACTGGGCAATTTACTGTAAAACCTTACCTTGGAGCCATTCTAAATGACAAATGAAGTGTCATCTTATCTCTGCTGTCATGCACTGCTGTTTCTGTTCCTTTCTTTCAGTTTGGCAGCACATGGACAATGGCTGCCTCTCTCTCTCAGAGCTTAGCACAGAATCTGGGTATCCAGTGGGATCCTGTGATCAGGAGGAGTAAGTTTGTTTCACCTCCTGCTGTCAAACTACTGGATTTCTGACTTGTTTACTGTAAGAGTTTAGGATTTAAAGTCAACTCACAGACTTTCTCACTCATTCTTGTGTTCTCTCAGAGGAGTGCGGCTGCATGGATTCATGGGTGGGATGTATAATGGAAGACACTGGGTATCGTTAAACACACACATTATTGTATAGCCTCTCCTGACTACTTGCCGGGCATTTTAGCTCCTAGTTTTCTGTCATATTTCTTGATTTGCATAGGATTATTTTTCTCTGTTCCCCTCTGTAGAGTGCAACACCCACGCAGGTTTTCCAAATGCAGCATCACTGACTACAGGAACTTTCTTCTAAGAGGAGGTGCTTCATGTCTGTTTAACAAACCCAACAAGGTAGGCTTGAACAATAGTGTGGACAACACAACATTCTCACCTGCATTTTTCATTACACAACATTTTTAAAAAGGACAGTCATCCAAGAATGAAAATTTGCTGAAAATGTACTCACCCTCAGGCCATCCAAGATGAAGATAGTTTCTTTCTTCGTCGTAACAGATTTGGAGAAATGTAGCATTACATCACTTGCTCACCAATAGATCCTCTGCAGTGAATGGGTGCCGTCAGAGTGAGAGTCCAAACAGCTGATAAAAACATCACAATAATCTACAAGTAATTCATAGGACTTCAGTCAATTAATTAACATCTTGTGAAGCAAAAAGTTGCATGTTTGTAGTAAAGAAATCTATCATTAAGATGTTTTTAACTTCAAACAAGTCCTCTATCCATTATAATGCTTTCGCCAGTGAAAAGTCATCTTGTCTGAATCAGGAGAGAAATATGAACAGATCAAGCATGGTTTACTAGCAAAAGCAGTCCAAAACATTTCCAAATGAATATGTCAGTGGATTTTGATGTGAGAGGACAACAAGGGATGGACGTTTTTACTGGAGGAAGCGTTATTATGGATTATAAGCTTGTATTTTGGCCAGAAGCGATGGTTTAAAGTTAAAATGGCTTAGTGATTGATTTGTTTCTTGCAAAAATAAAGATTTTCACTTCACAAGATGTTAATTGATGGACTGGAGTCATGTCGATTACTTGTGGATTATTGTGATGTTTTTATCAGCTGTTTGGACTCTCATTCTGACGGCACCCATACACTGCAGAGGATTCACAGGTGGGCAAATTATGTAATGCTAAATTTCTCCAAATCCAAAACTTTTTGGGTTAACTATTTCTTTAAGATTGGTAACCTCTGGACTAAATGTTATTCCTCTGGACTAAATGTTATTCTCTTAGAAATCCTGCTTGGTGTGCAATTCTTTTTATTAATGTATGCTAGATTTTTGTGCTATATTTGGATCTTACACTCCAACTAAGCTATTTTTGGATCTACTCGCCTTTCTGTTTGTTCTGTTCATGTACCTGCAACCCACAAAAAAACAGGGGTCTTCAACAAAAAGCTGAAATTGAAACAGTCAGTGACATCAAATGTTATTGGTTCTCACGTGTATTGTGATGGATTGTCATTGTCATCAAACAAAAATCAAGTACTTGTCTTACAGTCATCATTTATCAGACATGATGCTGGATAAACTTGTGCTTTGTGTTGGCAGCTCTTTGAGGCTACAGAATGTGGAAATGGTTACGTGGAAGTGGGAGAGGAGTGTGACTGTGGGGCTCGAATGGTAAGCACTATTTTGTTAGGTAAATCATACTTCCATACAGACAATAGCAAAACATAATATTTTACTAACTATTTTTTCGTCTGTATGCACATATTTGATCTGCTTATGCAGGAGTGCTATAAAGACTGCTGTAAAAAATGTTCTTTGTCTAATGGAGCGCACTGCAGTGACGGCCCCTGCTGCAACAGCACATGCCTGGTAAGACACTTCGCTTTTGCCTCATTATTCATCATAACTTCCTCCATCCTCAACTACTGAGTGTCTTATAATGCACTGATCAGTTGTTTCTCTCAATCCCTGTCCCTGCACCTTTTTCAGTTCTACCCACGGGGATACAGCTGTCGATATGCTGTAAATGATTGTGACATATCAGAGACTTGTTCAGGAGACTCGGGACAGGTCTCACCCTTTCTTTTCTATTTTTTCTTTTTAATTTAATTTAATTTAATTTGATTTGATGTCAGTAATTTATATGTGAAGTTAGAAATACGAAAACATCACAGTATAAAGGGATGAACAGAAAGAAAAGCATTTTCGCAGAACCACATAGTGAAAGCATATTTCAGTAAAAGCAAAATTTGAGTAGTATTTGATTTTTTTTCTGTTTTCTATATAGCCCATTAAAATGTAATGGTGATGCATATGCACATTTTCTGACATTCCCTTGAAAAACAAACATTTACTAATTAAATTAAAAAAATTTTCATTAATTTTTTTCAGAGTTAATTCGATGAAATTTCCAGTATCTGATTTTTCCTGTAAATAATAAATAATTTTAATAATTAAAAAAAAAAATTCCTGCCGCTGTTTTCTAACAATGGGCCACTAATTAATTTATGCAGAACTTTGCATCTCTTTAAGTTTTATGCAGGCACACCAGTTAATGTTAATGGCGTTCTGTTACAGTAATGTTAGAATAGGGCTTCTCAACTAAATATTAATTTATAAGTTGAATTCAATCACAATGTAATTTGCAGACTTTGTATAGAGGAATTTAACTATCATCAATGCTTAACAAGTAAAATAAAATATCTTCCACAAGTAAAACACAAACATTAATGCCGAGACATGGAAAAGAGAAAAAACAATCTACATATTAAATGCACAGGGTATTTTTTTCTTTACATTTTCAATTTCATTTCATGTACATTTTGTGTTAAGAAATATAGAGTCTGTTTTTTGTGCAAATGAGATATGACAATTGCTGGGTTGATCGAACGCCTGACATTTTAAGTTAAACGTTTTTAGATATTCCTGGTTCTCTGATGTTCTCTGTTTTATATATAGGGCTGCACAACTTGGCCAAAAAATAATTTGTCATATATCGTAGTTTTAACAGTGATATGACATTTAATCTCATGTGAAAAAATCTCACATTTCTCCTGCTGAAACCAACTAAGACCTCCTTCAAGTTCTTTTTTATAATAATATTAATTATTATTAATAATTTTTGTATTAATTAATTTGATTTTGTATTAAATTACTCACTTTCTAATGTTCAAACCATCCAGCTTTTAACTTTTATTTTGAGGGAAATCTGATGAAATTCTGCAAACCTCTATCCGTAGAAATCTTGGAAATTATGCAAATGTGTAAAAAATGTGAACCAAGTGCACATTGCGATCCAAAAATGTGTATTAATCTCAGCACATCACATAGAGTTTGAGAAGCAGCATTTACAATGCCGCTCTTCACACTGATACACAGCCCAACGGACTATACTTATTTTATTACATCTTATTTTGATTAATTGTGCAGCCTCATTTATTTAAATTTTTAACAAACCCCCTGCAATTCTCTTATAGTTTGTGAACCCCCATCTTTACCATTACCAGTTAATGGCATGGGTATTTATTTGTGTTAAAAGCCTGGTTTTATTGGCATAGTGTACTCATATGATGTGTTTAGCATGTTACTTATAATATCAGCAACAACTTGATCTCTGTGGGTGTAAGGAAATGAGAACAAGCAGTGAATACTTGCCCTAGCAATAGATACTGTAAAAATCTGTATGTGAATACCACATGAAATTTGCAGAACAAAGGTTACCATCTAGACATGATCACATAACCATCTCTAATACTTTCCAAATCCAAATCCTGTGGATTTACAGCGATGTCTTCTGTGGGTACCTGCTGTGCACTAACACTGGGAGAAATCCAAGGATCGGGACCCTGAGAGGTGACGTCACTCCCACCACCTTTAACCATCAGGGGCGACTGGTGGACTGCAGGTCTGTTCCTGGAACTCTGCAAATGTTCTCCCATTATACTTTAACAAAATTCTTATTTTTTTTACCATTTTCTAATTCTCCTTCTTCTGTAGTGGGGGACACGTGCTGTTGGATGATGACACTGATCTAGGGTATGTGGAAGATGGTACGCCGTGTGGTCCCTCTATGATGTGCCTTGAGCGGAAATGTCTACCCATCTCCTCCCTGAACCTCACAGCCTGTCCGTCTGGCCCGGGTGGCCGAGTCTGCTCTTCTCACGGCGTGAGTGATCACCATCTGACACTCTCTGCTGCTTAGATGGATCTCACACCACAGTCAGCCTTGAAAATAATTGTGTTTGAATTCCAATCCAACAAAGCCAGAAATCCACTCAAATCCATTTACAGATTTAATCCAGAATTTTAACGTCAGGGATTGAATTCATCCCCTGCATTCAGTTTATATGCAGAGGAATGACAATCTATTCCACAACATCTGAAAATAACACATTGTCATGGGTATCCAATATCTATAAGAAGGGGATTGATTTTTTTTAATTAAAATTTTACTTAAATCTGCTGTAGGATACCACACATTGCTAGTCAATAAACTAGCTAATCAGACACATTGTCTGCCTGTAGACGATTTTGTGTTTTAGGATTTGAAGACATAGGGTTTGTTGTCTTAGGAAGGCTGAGTTTTGAGAGTGGGTATTGAAATCGGTGAAAAACTGCTGAAATCGTATGGGGTTTTCTAACTTTTCAATGCCAAGACCTCTCAAACATGGCAATCCCCTTGGAAGGATGACCTCCTTCCTAAAATATAGAGGCAGCTACACTACCGTTCAAAAGTTTGGGGTCAGTAAAAATTTTTTTTCTGAAATTAATAATAATAGTAATGCATTTAATTTAATGGTGCCTTTCTAAACACCCAAGGTCACCTTACAGCAAGCAAAATGATAAAAAATACAAAAATGAGTAACAAAAGACGAACAGATCCTGCCAGCATTACAAAATTCAACAGCACAACTGCATACATACATCATAAATACGGTAGAGGTTTATTAATAAGAGCAAGTCATAATAAAACCTGGGTAAAGAGATGAGCCTTAAGACGAGATTTAAAAATATGCAGACTGTCACTGTCACGTATATTGGGAGGGAGGGAGTTCCATAGGCAAGGGGCCGCAAAACTAAAAGTTCTTGCTCCCAGGGTGCTTAAGCGTATAAGCGGCGACAAGAGAAATCGAGAACGAAGATCTGAGAGTGCGCAAAGGAGGTTAGATGTGGAGAAGGTCAGTAAGGTATAGCGGAGTTAGGTTGTGAAGTGCCTTAAATGTGAAAAGCAAAATTTTTAAATCGATACTTCACCGGGAGCCAGTGTAGACGTTGGAGAACTGGAGAAATGTGCTCAATAGATGAAGTCTTAAAAAGAACACAAGCTGCCAAATTCTGAACTAACTGGAGTTTATGAAAAAGTTTAGAAGGAAGGCCAGTAAGGAGAGCATTACAATAATCGATACGTGAGGTAACGAGTGCATGAATAAAAATTGCAGTATTATTCGTTGTGAGAGAGGGATGGAGATGATTAATATTACGCAGGTGGAAATATGCAGCATGCGTAATATTATTAACATCAGCTTCAAAGGACAAACTCCTAACCTGCTGAGAAGGACAAATTGCGTTATAATTGATTATCCACAGAAAAACAATCAGTTTTAGTCAGAGTAGATCTTGTACCAATGAGTAAGACCTCAGTTTTATCACTGTTGAGTTTTAGAAAGCTGGCTGAAAGCCAATCTTTAATTTCAGTTAAACATCTGGTCAAGGAAGGTGGAGCTAGAGGGGTTGGGAGACAGGTAGAGCTGGGTGTCATTGGCATAGCAGTGAAATGGATTCCATATTTCCTGAAATAATGGCCAAGAGGGAGTAAATAGATGATGAATAGCAGTGGGCCCAAAACAGAACCCTGAGGGATACCAGTGGTAACTGGTATAAATGATATTGAAAATGTTTTAATTTGAACAAACTGAATGTGACCAGTGAGATATTACCTAAACCAGGACAGGGTGGTGCCAGTGATCCCTATAGAAATTAACCTATCCTGGAGTATCTTATGTGAGATGGTATCAAATGTCGCACTCAGGTTGAGAAGGACAAGTATTGTTAATAAACCAGAATCAGCTGCCAATAACAGATCATTAGTAATTTTAACAAGAGCAGTCTCTGTACTATGGTGGGGATGAAAGCCAGATTGAAATCGCTCAAATTATTTATTATTGGAGAGATGATCGTGAACTTAAGTTGCAACACATTTTTCCAAGATTTAAGAAATAAATGGCAAATTAGAAATTGGATGATAATTTTCAAAACTTCAAAAAGAGAGGAAGGTACAGAACCAGAAACAAGTGAAGAGTGAATAATTGTAGTTATTAATGAAGACAAAGATAGTAGGCAGGCTTTAACTAAGCAAGTAGGTAATGGGTTGAGCTGACAAGTGGTAGGTTTAGATTTCCGGATATGACAATATCTCCGCAACAGTTGTTAAAGTGAAAGTAGTCAAAGTAAAATGCAGGGTCACATAGGAGACTGGATAACTGGAATCATAACCTAAATTACTTGAAAGTAATTGCTGAGGAATCTTTTTTAACCTTAGACTCAAAGAAAGTAAAAAAAACTGTGGCATAGTTTAGGCAGTCGTGGCCTAATGGTTAGAGAGTCAGACTTGTAACCCGAAGGTTGCAGGTTCAAGTCTCAGGTCCGACAGGAATTTTCGGTGGGGGGAGTGAATGTACAGTGCTCTCTTTCACCTTCAATACCACGACTGAAGTGAGACCCTTGAGCAAGGCATCGAACCCCCAACTGCTTCCCGGGTGCCGCAGCAATATGGCTACCCACTGCTCTGGGTGTGTGTTCATGGTGTGTGTGTGTGTGTTCACTACTGTGTGTGTGCACTTGGATGGGTTAAATGCAGAGCACAAATTCCGAGTGTGGGTCACCATACTTGGCCATATGTCACTTCACTTTCACTTTTTTTTTCAGAATACGTTTAACAGTAAAGAGTCAGGTGCACACAGAAAATTCTTCACCACAGAAAAAAGAGATCTATAGTTCCCTTCACTAGCTCCAGTTATATTAGAATAATAGTCTGATTTAGCTTTGGATAATGCATCTTTGTAATGTTGGATATGGTGAGCAAGCATTTCTTTATGTACAGTAAGACCGGATTTGGCATACAGACGCTCTAGCCTACAGCCTTTTACTTAAAAGTAGATGCAAATCAGAGGTAAACTAGGGAGCAGAGAGAGGAAAAGAAACAATACTTTTATACAGCAAGGGTGTGTTCACTGCGTTGAATTTATCAAGTGACAGTAAAGACTTTTACATTTTTACACAATATTTCTAAAAGATTTCAAATAAATGCTGTTCTTTTGAACTTTCTATTCATCCTGTAGAATTCTTTATAAAAGTATCCACAAATATATTAAGCAGCACAACTGCTCTCAACAGTGATAATAATAAATGTTTCTTGAGCACCAAATAAAGGAATAAATTATATATTTTAAATATATTATTATAATATATAGTTAATATAGTTATTAACTGTAATATTATTTCACAATATTGCAGTTTTTTTAACTTTATTTTGATCAATTAAATGCAGCCTCTGTGAGTGTATATACATTTTCAACATTAAAAAAAACGTACCAATACCAAACTTTGAACAATAGTGTGTATATTATAGACCCATTTTCGTATAGTGTAAGAAAAATTGTGAGCGTGACATAAAATATTATTAAACATGACTGTATTTCTAAAACTTGAAGAGAAACATCTCCAATTAATTTCAAATTTATTTATAAAATGATATTTAAAATATAAAGATTCAGCAGATGTAAAATGTAAAATGAAAATGTAGAAATACTTTTTTCACAAAACTGTATGCATTTTTATTTCTTTATTACTAATAAAAACTGGCTAATCTGTAAATATTAACCCCAGGCTTACAGCACCTTTAACTTGACTGTGTTACACATCATCAATGATGATACTGAGGGTTATTTCTTACTGTTTATCAACTTTCAGGTGTGCAATAATGAAGCAACCTGCACCTGTGATGCTACATGGGCAGGGACTGACTGCAGCATGCATGACCCCCCAAAAGAGCCACCCGTCACCGAGGACCCGGGTCCCAAGGGTTCGTGATCTCTCTTAATTCTTTAAACATAAAAAAACTTTGCCATATACATACACAGATCTTACAGCCTAATCCTCAGATGCACACACACCTTAACTCCAGTCCACTGCAAAGCCACTTCCAAAGATCACTGCTTTTTGTAGGTGCCCATTTCTATATTGTGACTTTTCCCACTCACAAGACTTTAACAAATACTAGTACGTGTACAATAAAAAAAAAAAAAATGGGGCCTTGAGTGACATTTTCTCTGTTGAATCACCCCTATTTCCTCTGCACAGTGAGCGTGGCCACAAACAGGCTGATAGGGGCAGTGGCAGGGACCATTCTGGCCCTGGGGGTGATTTTTGGAGGCACAGGGTGGGGAATAGAGTAAGCACCTCTTAACCCTTTAATGCCACTCCCCCAGCAAGAGGGAGATCCTGTGATCCCCTGTGTGTGCGCGTGTACGTGCGGTTGTGTGTATGTGTTCTCCCAGTGGCTTTGTCCGTTGTGTTGAATGTGATGGTGCCTTGTAATTTTTGTTGTGTAATTGGACTGATTGATTGGTATATCTCTTATTTTTTCTTCTCCCTTGGCTGCTATTATCATGGATATTTTTATTATCACCCTGTGTTAATGGAGTGTTGCGGTGCTTCCCTTTCTGGTCCATGTGGGGCATTAACATAGAACAAAAAATTCAAAGTGAGAAAAGAGGATCAAGAATGAAGAACAAGACAAGGAGGGTGGAAAAACATGAGATGACTTGGATTGACATTGACATAAGATGCCGTGGCGTCTTTTAACTGACACAAAATCCCATCAGAACTGGCCCACTTTCTGAGCTGAGCTAAATACTCTACTCTAAGTAGGTCCGACGTGTGCGTGAGTGGGTAAAAGTTCACCACGAGTGTGTTTGTGGGTTAATGTTTCTTTGTGTGTCTGTGTGCGCGCGTCTGTGCATTTGTTTTCGTCAGTCCTCAAAACACCTCAGTGCTTTAAGATCTTCCCTTACAAACCATCAGTTACTTGTGCCGCTCCCCTGTGCGAAAATCTACAGCCCCTAAATTCTCCACACCCATGTCCAATAACATCCCACACACACACTATGCTATCAAGGGTAAGTTGAGCGTTATCTACCCTACGGATTCCCATCCTGAGTAATCACATGACTGAAAGAGTGTATAACATAAGTGAAGTCCAGCATTTGATGTGTAAATCCTGCATGCTGTGCAGGTGCCCCCTGCAGCTTACGTCATGTTTCTCTCCCATCATGCCCTTCTACAGGTCCTAGTGCCACCAACCTTATCATAGGCTCCATCGCAGGGGCCATCCTGATGGCAGCCATAGTGCTGGGGGGGACGGGATGGGGATTTAAGTAAGAGCTGCACCGCATGCTTCCTATTGCCTGCCAGCCTGGAACAGGCTCACTCACACTTAAACATACACACTCACACACACACTTTTGCATACATGCACACAACACTTACCACTACACACTCACATTCACACATGCACATGGGCCTGGGCTTCTGCTACAGACAACAGATACTAAAACTAGGTCATCATTTAAAGTGCCAATTCTGAACTATATGCTACGATAGAATGCTAAGGGACGATAAGTGTAATTTGTCATTTTTTCTGTAACAATATATGTAATTGTAAGTTGTTTAAATGTAACATTTTCTTAAGTATGCTAATGCGTTCTTTACAGGTGACAGCAGATTGTAGTTTAGCTCATGGTAGCTAGATGGTAGCTATTGAAAACCAATCAAGAAAAATTACCCACTAAAATGATCTGGCCACATCTTTCAACCACCAAATTACAGTTTAAGTCTAGGTCTAGACATTTAACCCAGTTGGTTTAGAGCTCTGTAGACTGTAGCAGAACCTCGTGCAGACTGGCCCATCGCTTGACATGCATGCGAGCAAAATGGTAAAATGGATACTGAGCAAGATGTGTAATGACAGTTATGAATTAATGACCATATCAAAGAGAAGATTGATGTGTAGCCTTTTTTGCTAACTACATGCTAATACTTAAAAACATATACATTTCAGTAATACCATGACCAGTTTATGTAGTAAGGTGGGAACTGTTGGAGAAAGTAACATTGTATGCTTACTTAAGTGCAGTATCAAGTACAGTATATTTATTGTAAAGCGGTCCGGACACATTTGACAGGAAACTGCATAGTTCTGTCATTCGTCTTGTCATTCGCAAACCTTGTACCGAAAAGCAAAATATTAAAGTAACAGTGTCCGTACTAAAAAACAGATCAACACTAGCTTGGCTTTTCAAAAATAGGTTTAGTTTGCGCATTTGCTGTGCGTGGACTAGGTTCACAAAATAATATTTATGTTGGTAACAATGCCAATCTCTAAACCATTTACTACTTAGCCTACTAGCCAGGTGTCCACTGTTTTACCTTAACTGATACGAATACCAATCATTATGTCTAATGTCAGCATTACCAATCTTTTGAAATTTTATTTTAAAACAACTGTTTGCAAATAAGCTCATAAGAACCAAGGCACAATTTGCATAATCACCAAAGCAATGTTTCTCCGCAAGTAACGTTTTATGCTTCAACCGCTAAAGGGCAGAAAGTTACATAATGTAGCTTTAAAGATTCCAGTAAATGTGTGTAACATCAAACATGTTGACAGATGTATTTGGTTCAAAATATGAATGTAGTTTAGCAACTGTTTGTCTGAGGACATGTAAAACCTTTCTAATGGCCAGCATAGACCCAGTCAGGAGCAAGTTCTTGGAAGTTAGCTATGAGATCTGGAGGTCATCCAAGAGGACTTAGCTCACCGCAGCATGCTTGTTTGCACATAGCATCTTGACTGAGCCCATTTAGAGTTTGCATGCGGACTGGCACCAAGCCAGAGCTAAAGCGGAGTGCTATCAGAGCATCGCACAAAGGCTGGGCTCACCTCAAGTGAAGGGAGTGGAGGGGTGTTTGTTGTTTTCCTTGCTTTGAGAAGCGGGGTGGGTTGTTGGGGCGGGACGGGGTAGGCAGGGATGACGACTTTCTGACCCGCTCTCCTCGCCGTGATCTCTCTCTCAATCCCCCCTCCGTTGTCTGAAAGGGTGAGAGTTTGAGCGGAGAGGGGTGGAGGTTGTGTCGTAGGCAGCCTTTGTGCCATGGCTGGCTGCCACGCCCTCTTATCTCCCGGAAGGCCCTGGGCCCCCCTGAAAACCTAGAACAGAGCAAGAGCCCTCACCCCCCACCCGGACTCGCCCGGCACCGCTGCCTTTACTGCCTGCTTCACAGAGACCTGGTACAGACACACGCGCTGCACTGCACCTGCATGCTACCCCAGTCACCCCCCTACACTGCGATAGTGGCGTCTCCTTCCTAACCTCTCTATGGACAGGTGCATGTTAAACTGCTGGGATGCCCCACATCAAGCCACGCTACGGGGAGGATGTGTCAAACCCCTGTTGTTGTTGGTGTTGTTGCCTTTCTTGTTGTTCCTGGTGGTATCGTCGTGGTTCATGTTGTGGGTGTGACATCCTTTTCTGACCCTCGATGTTGTACACTCTTTCTTGCTGTTTTCTATGTCAATGTTCGTGTTTTCTCCCAGGAGGTAATGTTCTTTTTCCACATCCCTTGTTGTCTTTCTAACACATACTCACCCGCAGTCAGTGGTGGGACACTGTGTCTCTCCTTGCTGCTGTGAAGAACCGCCATTTTTACCCGCCGCAACCCGACGGCATTAGGAGTTAAACTACACTTTATGGGTAGATTTCGATAAATGATTTGAATTGATTAAGTTAATAAAACGACTACCATGTGGTTGCTGCGGGTTAAGGCAGTAAGATGGGCAGCAAATTGTATGTTGATGTCTCTGGCATTGCCTGCACTAACCCTCCTCTCGTTTGTTTTGTCCTGTTTGCCCTCATCACCAAGAAATGTCAAGAAAAGACGATATGACCCTAACGCCAGTGCCATCTAAAGGCTAAGAGAACTGCATCCTTGCCTAGTGTGCCCCCGGGTTCCGTCAGAACCCGCCGGACTGTACCCTCTCCTGCTGCTGACGCTGCTGCCGACGGCGTTGGCGTTACTTGAATAAAAAAGGACAGAAAGCGAGAGAAGAAAGAGACCGAACGGTCGAACATTTTTCATCCAAAGTCACATAGAACTGCTTCTCTAGCGCTGTTCCTTTGCCCTCTGGCCCTGAGCATCCACACTGAACCACTCATCGGGGCATGACTTCCTGTTCACACGCCCCAACCTCCAGTTTTGACCCAGGCATGACCAGCTTCAGCTGTGGACCTCGCATGGCAGAGGAGGGACACCAATGACTATTGTTCATTTAAAAAAGAAGAATGATTTGAAGTTCCAGTAGGCTGGTAACATATCCATGTGTTTTTCAAGGGGCTAAATGACCACACCCTATGAGAGTGACCCATATTGGACAAACATTTCAAGGCTTAACTTTAAAGTTTTTTGTTATTTCAGCATGTTATATTGCAGCCATTTTCTGTAGTATTAATGAAACAAAGAAACCCAAACAAAAAGTTTTTAAAAAATCAATCCATTTGGCCGGCAGCGTATACTGCTGCATGATGAAATCACCACTGATATTTATGCCTGATGACGTCAATTAATGTTCCACTTGAAAAAAAAAAAAAAGAAAAAAAAAAACAATTAAACTGGCTGGGCCCTGTAGGTCTGCCCTGACCTGAATGCCATCACTGGCCAATCAGAGAGCTGCATGATGTAACTGCACTGGGGGCAGAGCCCACACAGCCTGCTGCGCTTTTCAAGGTATCTGCATGTTAAAGGAAAAACAGTTAACATTTACTTACTATGCAAAGGGGAAACATTGCACAAACATTGGTTTGGTAAAGAATTCTCAACTGAGACTAACAATGAAATTGATCTCAAGCTAGCGGATTATTAAAAAGGCAGTCTTTTATATGCTCGGCCATCTATGTTTGACATTATAATAAGCTACTGATTACTTAAAATGAATGTTTCTATGAAAATCTCAGCTTCTGAAAATGTCATTGTCATCTGTGTGGGACAGCATAATTGAGGCACTTGTGATATTAATTATTAATAGAATGGGGCTGTTTCAGTAGAGGGAGCTCTAGTTTGGGGCTAAGTCACTGGAATAAGAGCAGAGAGAGAGGGTGTTTTTCTATACCATCATTGATCCTCAAATCTGGCCCACAAGATCCACTTTCCTGCAGAGTTTAGCTCTAACCCTAATCAAACACACCTGAGCATGCTAATCAATGTTTTCAGAATTATTAGAAAATCACAGGTAGGTGAGTTTGATCAGGGTTGGAGCTAAACTCAGCAGCTCATTGGCCCTCCAGGGCAAGATTTGAGGAACCCTTATCAACACCATCAGGTTTTTGAACTCATCTTCTAAACCCTGAGCCCTTTTACAGCCATCTCATGTTCCCATGGAAACATTGCCAAAACAACAAATAATTATAATAAAGAACTTGACAAAAACTTTCCTCTTTGAGATCTTTTTTTCTTTCATAATCCTCTCAATCCAGATATTTCAATGAAAAAGAACTGACATCAAACACGTTATCAGTTCAGTCCTTTTTATTGGTAGACTTTGCATTCGCACTGAAATTAAAACACACTCCATATTAATGTTTTGCAGAACCCATAACAAATTTACTGTGCACTGAATACAAAATATTACAATTATTAATATTTATTTATTGTTCAACAGGCAAAATAAACATACAAGGCTGTTATTAAAAATGCATTCAAAGTGTCTAGTATTAAAAAAAAACATATAAATTCACTATTAAATCACACTATAAAATCACATATTAACTAGAAACTAGATTGAAAAGTTTGTAGACAAACTTTAAGTTGGATTGAAAAAGCCTAGCTAGAAAGTTTGAAAAAGTTTGAAAAGCTTG